TATATATATATATATATATATATATATATATATATATATATATATATATATATATATATATATATATATATATCCATAGGTCCCTCATCCTATTCATGTAGCCCCTTCCGCCAAGGGGGCCAAGACCAAAGAGTTGAAGTGTACCTCTGGTGCAAATTACTGACCTCTGTCATCATTTTAGGTGGGGGAACTTGCACTTTGCACTAAATACTTTTTTGCCCCACTGTATATATAAAAAAAAACACCCAGCACGCCCCTGCGGGCAGTCTCTCCGTCAAGCTTGGGTCCTCTACCAGAGGCCTGGGAGCTTGAGGGTCCTGCGCAGTATCTTAGCTGTTCCCAGGACTGCGCTCTTCTGGACAGAGATCTCCAATGTTGTTCCTGGGATCTGCTGGAGCCACTCACCTAGTTTGGGAGTCACCGCACCTAGTGCTCCGATTACCCCACTGAGACCACTGTTACCTTCACCCTCCACATTTTCTCAAGCTCTTCTCTGAGCCCTTGGTATTTCCTTCTTTCTGATGTTGCTGTCATTCGGAACTGCATCTATCACTACGGCTGTTTTCTTCTGTTTGTCTACCACAACGATGTCCAGTTGGTTAGCCACCACCACTTTGTCCATCTGTATCTGTAAGTCTCAGAGGATCTTGGCCCGGTCATTCTCTTGGGGGTGTCTCCTATTTTGACCTCGGGACTTCCAGGCCATATTCAGCACAGATGTTTCTGTATACTGTGCCGGGCACTTGGTTATGGCATTCCCTGTATGCCTTGCCTGCTAGCATCTTGCACCCTGCTGTTATGTGCTGGATTGTCTCTGGGGCATCTTTACACAGCCTGCACCTGGGGTCTTGCCTGGTGTGATAGACCCCAGCCTCTATGGATCTTGTGCTCAGAGCTTGTTCTTGTGCTGCCATGATTAGTGCCTCTGTGCTGTCTTTCAGTCCAGCTTTGTCCAGCCACTGGTAGGATTTCTGGATGTCAGCCACCTCCTCTATCTGCCGGTGGTACATACCGTGCAGGGGCCTGTCCTTCCATGATGGTTCCTCGTCTTCCTCTTTCTTGTGTTTCTGCTGCCTGAGGTATTCACTGAGCACGCTGTCAGTTGGGGCCATCTTCCTGATGTATCCGTGAATGTTTATTGTCTCATCCTGGACTGTGGTGCTAACACTCACCAGTCCCTGGCTCCTTCCTTCCACTTAGCGTACAGCCTCGGGGTGCTGGACTTGGGGTGAAACCCTCCATGCATGGTCAGGAGCTTCCTGGTCTTGATATCAGTGGCTTCTATCTCCTCCTTTGGCCAGCTTATTATCCCAGCAGGGTACCTGATCACGGGCAGGGCGTAGGTGTTGATAGCCTGGATCGTGTTCTTACCATTCAGCTGACTCCTCAAGACTTGCCTGACCCTCTGCAGGTACTTGGTGGTTGCAGCTTTTCTAGCGGCCTCTTCATGGTTCCCATGTGGGATCCCCAGCTGTTCTCTATGTCTGCAATGTTGCCTTCTGGTAAATGGTAAATGGTCTGTATTTGTATAGCACTTTACTTGGTCCTAAGGACCCCCAAAGCGCTTTACACTATACACAATCATCCACCCATTCACACACACATTCACACACACATTCTGGTAGTTTGATCCCCTCAGCTCTGACTACTTTACCTCTTTTTGTTATCATCTGACTACACTTCTCTTGTCCAAACGACCAGAATCCTGGGACCCAGGATTGACCTGTCAAAGACTCCAATCTGGCCCCACTGGACAGCTTTGGAAAGACATATGTTTTGACTTTAAACTGTATTTTCAGTTTTAAAGTTTTACAACTTTTTTTTTTTTTTTACCGATAGACTTTCCACATGGTCTTTCATAACACAACAAAGTAATTTAAACAAATAAATGATGGAAAAGTTCTTTTATTCATATTATCCACTGGAGTAATTTGCATAGCAATTTTAGGGACTCCAAATATTAATATTACAATAAATACATTAAAATACTCTGGGAATACTATAACCAAGTGGGTCCATCTCTGAGTGAGTCTTGGTCAGGAAGAATAACTGAAGGGGATTCAGCTAAACTGGAAATTTCCTGCTAAAATCGCAATTATTTGTCTTACATTCAGATATTTTAAGGACTAAACATGTAACTAAATTTCTTTACAGTGACAGAAAGGGCTGTTTCACTGGTCTGGCTCATGATGTAAAATGCATTTGTGCTAATGCTATGCATTAAGAATTGGTTACATGTAAGTTTTGCTTATCCAACCATTTAATCTCCTATATGCCTCATTAAATGAGAATGTAGATACTACTTCCTTATTTGCTTAGTTTTTTAAATTACTGTAGCTAGCGGTTCATTTGTGTAATATGAAATCTCGTTTGTTTCATAGGTGTGACAAACTGGAATTCTGCATTTGTATGTGAAATATATCTCTAAACTTTGCAATAAAAGGCACAATACATTTCTAACGTGAACTGTGTGCTCCAAATCTCAATACATTAAGGTAATACTGTTTTTGGGCTGTAGTCAGTGTAAGGTTAAGTCAACCATGAGTCCAACATGACTGGAAAGATATGACAACGCCGAGGAATAATGTTTTTTTTACTGTTTAGAGCCAATGATATTGACTTCTTGTTAATGACAGGCAGTACATGAATGAAGTAATAAACACAATAAATCTCTGTTACTAGTTCTGTGGAAATTGTAAAGCAGTTCCTGGCTAGGAAACAAAAATTGTCACGGTCCTGGGTCAGTGACCCAGTGTTTTGAGTTTCTTGTGCTTCTGAGTTTTTTTGTATTATGTTCTTAGTTCTCTTTGTTGTCCCAGCTTATTCTTTAGTGTAGTGTCTTAGTTTGGTTTTCTTGTATTCTGCTTAGTTCTGAGTATTTGGTAGCTGCCCTCTGTGTTTCTTAGTTGCTCTGTCTCCCCTAGTCTAGTTTGCATCTGTGCTAATTCCTGTTTTACTTTGAAGGTCTGTGTCTCATGTGAGTGTATCCTACTTTGCTCCCTTGTCTCGTCAGTTCTGGTTTCTCCCAGCTGTGCTTTCCTTCTGTGTCTCATTCCCCTCGTTACTTCCCATTGTATTTAAACCCTGTGTTTCTCTGAGTCAGTGTCATGTTGTCCCTCAAGCTGTGTGTTTTCTGGTGTGCCTCTCTGCAAAGTGAGTTTATATTTTCCCAGTTTAGTTTAGTTTAGTATGCTCATTTTCTGTGACCAGCAAATAAAGCTGTGATTTTGAATTCATCCCCTGAGTCTGAGTCCTGCATTTCGGGTCCAACTTCTGCCTGCTGCACAGTGATTCATGACAAAAATATCACCATTGCACTCAAATCTGACTGGAAATCTGTGGGAGATTTTCATGAAGTTGGTGCTTGGTATTATCAAATAATGCTCCTTTTAGGGTAAATATTTCTCCGTAGTGTGGCTTATAAGATAATGTTAACAATCTACTTCTGTCACAATGTTGCTTTGTGTATTTGAGAAACACAATACCTTCCAGCTGCCATCCAGTTAGTGATAGGTATCAAACAAACTGCAATAAATCACCTCTGCTTCAAGTTTGCAACACGATAAAGCTTTCAGACACTCCTATGACATTAAAAATTCCAACAGCTGAACAAAACAAGTAGTGTCCATGGAAATGCTTTCTTCCCGCACTCACACAATAGAATCTATTGTGACACCACTGCTGTAAAATGATCAGATTAAGATGATTCATAAACATGTAACCTTATGTGAGCTCAGTCTGAGAGTCTATTACATGTGGGCACGCTGAACACATCTGTGACTGAGCATACAAAGCAGCATTCTCTAATAAACTGCTTTTCTATCATGATATCTGATATGGATATGACTAAAACTAAAACTACAACCGTAGACATTTTTTTTTCCCATTAACTCAACTCTCTTATTTTCTACTCTGCTGAGAACATTATTTTTTGAACCTGATACCTTGGATTAACATTTACATAAGTATCTATTTTTTTTTAAAAATCCAAACCTTTCAAAAAGACCCACGTGCCTGTTGCTTCTGAGTGGTCTTTTTGGTGTACTGCATAAACTTTCTTTCCCCAGAACCATCAATCATCTACAGCATCCAACAGCATTTTTTAACTTCTCCTGTTGCAATTGTTATAACTACTGGAAGAACTTTAAACACTAAGAGAAATAAGAAGGGAGTTTGTGAACAATACAGGGACTGTGGTTTTATGACTTCACAAAACTGAGAGCCGATAAGATCCAGACTGCTGAGATTTCAGTGCAGCTGACCTGAGATCGTAAACCTGACAGTTAATGAGACTCACACGATGAGAAATGACAGGTGACTGCACAACGACGCCCTATCTGAACATTTTTCATTTTGAAAATGAAAACACAAATAAATTTAGGGGGAAGATTAAAAGAGATTGTGATTGTCACTCTTTCATGTAAAACAAAATAGAGACCAAGGGGATGTTAACTCTTTTTGACAAGTGACAGAGGCCAGGCAAGAAACAGTATGAGAACGACTGTCCGAGGAGGAAGAGGAAGCCAGACGAAATCAATATCTGCCAACAGGAAACACCTGCAGTCCTCATGATTAGCATCCAAAGGAGGAAGCTTTAACCTCCTGAGTTCAGCTAATACCCATCTAGAATATAGCAATAACATATAGTTATCCGGTGTGGCTACAATAAATACAACAAAACAATTAGAAATAAAAAAAATACACAATCACAATACATGTGTCTATCTATCTATCTATCTATCTATCTATCTATCTATCTATCTATCTATCTATCTATCTATCTATCTATCTATCTATCTATCTATCTATCTATCTATCTGGATGGATGGATGGATGGATGGATGGATGGATATAACTGCCAAAAAACAAGCATAATTCTTATAACGCTTGAAACAAAATGTGACAGCTTGGCTGTAGTTTCACTTCTAATTTGACTCTTTTCAGCCCTCTACAGAGCTTGCCCATAACTTCCTGTTCTACCCAAATACAGAGGTGTAATCCTTTCTGCTTGGCTGCTGCACACCGTGCTGTTTATCTTTGGAGCTGCTGCTGAGATACAAGCCTTTTAACAGGGATGGCTCTTTCTGTGATTGCACTGATTTTAAGTGCTGGAGCTGCTTGTGGATATATACCAAGTAAGGCTACGACTGTCACTTGGCTTTTTGTGAGTAGCTCAGCTATGAGAAAGTGGAAGTATCCTGCAGAATTAAAAATGACTTAGTGTAGATGTTTGTTGTTTAAGTTGCAGGTATTGCTGTATAGGTGGTCATCATGAAACATGTTTTAACAGCCACAGTTAGTAAAGGATTACAAAAGGTAAAAACAACAACAACATCAGTCTACTTTAGTTATAGAGCTGTGCTACAGTAGGTGAGAATACAAGAGGAAGAAAAAACAAGAACTTGAATTTAAATATGTCTTTCTCAGGAAATGTTTGCTGAACACCAGTCACATGGTAAAATGCGAGTAGTTTGGAATGTCTTGTTGTAATCTGAGCTCAGCCAGTGCTAGTTAAATTTGATGTTTTAAAATTGACAAAATTACAAACTGTTAGATCAAGATGTCGACTCCAATTCTTACATTTGCTTTGTGTTTACAAAAATAATCTGTTGTACATTTAAATGACATTTAGCAATGTGACATTCAACAGTTTTTATTGCATTACATAGCTGGCTGGAAGTAGCGCCTGAAATTCTGGAATTTTTAAAGAGGATTTTAGGGGATTAAAATTCTGTATTGTGTTTGTACCTCTCACAATACAGATGCTACCAACTCACCTAACAACCATAACCAGGCCCATAACTAAATAAAAATGGAGGCCTTTGTATAAAAAAAGGGTGTAATTCCCGAACAGCTAATGCTACTCTTTTTGTAAAGCCCTGAATTTATTCTGAAAGTCTGCGCTTCAGTGACATCTTCACTGTGGTGGTGTACAGAGGCAAAATGACAGAATCATTGGTATGATTTCCTAAGCTTATTAGCACTTTATCATGAAATGGTAAATGAAGACAGAGTTAGGCACAACACCACTTTCTGTTCACTTCTGTTACATATTTAGTTACCTGCAGACACTAAGGTGAAATGTGCTAGATAAAATGTGATGTTTTTGATGTTTTTGTGCATTGTGTTCTGCAAAAAAAAAAAAAAAAACATTAGCAATTTATCATATCAGCACTTATATCCATGTATATCTGTGTCAGGCCAGTATTTGCACACAACGTCAGCCAAACAATATGTCTGCCTGGCTCAAGTTGAAAGGTTAGAATAACTGTCATAATGGAATCGTTATATATTTTCACCTTTAAAAAAAAATGTGAAAAATGCTGTTTGAGTTTAAAGTTTGAAATAAAACAAATGCCTCAATTTTACCAAATGATAACAGGCTTCTGGTTTCTGTTTATGTCAGCATATTGGAGTGCATGCCGGTAGCCTGAGGGGTTGTACTGTGAAGAAAGTGCAGCACAGCCAAGCTCTGTATGCATTAGTGGCTTGACCAAACCTAAAACCCCAACTGGAGATAATGTGTGCCATGACAGTGTTCCTTAGCTTTCTGCTTTCTGCTTCAGGTTCTGTGCATACTCATGAAAAGGGGTGTTTGACACGTCGCATGACTCTTTCCTTACAAAAATTGATCGTTGTGAGTGCAGCCTACGCTGATCTGCCCCAACCATAGACACTGTCAGATAATGATGAGAAAATGGTGATGAACAACATAACAATGTAATGGTAAAATGCAACACTGTTGCAAATAAGACAGGCAATTAATGCTACAGAAAATTAATAATCAGCTGATTTAGTGCACAGAGTGGTAAAATAAACATTTTAATTCAAGTTAATATATTTATTTTAGTGCTGAGTGCACTCACTGTGCTAAGTGTATTTATAATGTGATGGCTCATTAGAGCTCTGAAACTTTAAAGTGCATACATTTAAAGATTAAAGGGTACTGTCCTATAGCGTAATAAAGGTATTTTGTCAGCAGATTCAGGTGAAATTAATATGACTGACTGAACAGGTATTCTGCTCTGTGTTCAAGTAGCTGCAATTGGAGCAGTGTGAAAGAGACAGCAGCAGATTAAGCAGATTGGAGGCTGTTAGCCTAAGTGAAGATAAGACGAGCTGGAAACAGGGGAATACAGCTAACCAGGGTTTGCTAAAAGTGAGTGAGGTCTATCATTCCCAGCTAATCACATATGGACACCTGTGAAGTGCTCAGTAAATATGGTAGTTCAAGCAAAGACACAGTGATTTGGTAAACGCAACGATTTTAGTGCCTAAACCTAAAGAACGAGTGAATACAAAACAACTCTAGAAGAAAAGTGTTGTGTCCTCACTTGACATAGAGTTGACTTAAATTAGCCAGTTAGACAGTAATTCATTAATTAACAACAATAAAAACTACTCTTTTATTTCAAACTAGAATATACTGAGTAGAAGAGCTACACCCCCTACCAGCCTGTTGGCTGCAGTTAAGGTCGGGGAAATCAGTGTGTAGAATGTTTGAACTGCTTCCATCATGTATTCATTTTGCACCTTCTTCTTTTCAGCACAGTCCCACAACTTCCATTACATCTATGGATGCTATGAATCTGATGATGTGCGGGTGGACGTTGTTGTTGACGACGACGTGGTTGCATATGCCGATTTCAACAAGAAAGAGGTAGTGTGGGTGTTACCTCACTTGCCACAACCTGCAAAAGACATCCAGAAAATGGCTTATGAACTCGCCAAAGCCAGCACTGCACACTGTCACAGCGTTTTGGGTAAAGCAAAAAATGCTGATCCCGGCGCTCCCCTACGGCGAGGTACTGATCTTGGCACACTTCATTGCGAGCATTCGTTTAGCTCAGCCTGATCGAGGGGAAGAAAGAACACTGTTGATCCAACTGAAAGCAGATGTAACCAGAAAGAATTAAGAGAGCACATAAAATATCTCTTTTCTGTGACTTACTTACACAAGCTGCTTTGAAACTAAGTGCTCCAGGCAGGTGCTAGACTGGTGGAGCCTTAATTACACAGCTAATCAGTGACCTTCTCTCTGGCTTGAAAAATATATTGAGACAGAATCACCTTTGAAAAGTAATTATATACTATTAAATTAGCTTGAAACTTGTGTTACAGTGGCCTTTCTAAACTACTCTAAGGCAGTCTCCTTCCATAAACTGAACTCTTCTGCTTATGCCAGCATTTTCTTAGAAATTATAGATAAGATGAACAAATGCAATGTGTGTGGTGTCATTTCGTGTGGCAAACTCACAGAGAATAGCTGCCTGACTCTGTAGACTGTTATTTTAGTGTTTGGAGTTTCTCTCAAATGAAAGTGCAGCATAGTTGGTGATGATGAAAAACAAAGCTCAAAGAGGGTCAAGTGGCAATGAGAAAATATTCTGGAGGTCAGCACAGGTACAAATCATTTCTTTTCAATCCAGCCCATTATGTCTGTGAATTATAACCATGCACTGCTGGATATCTCATTCTGCTTCTCAGCACAGATTAAATTAAACTGTCAATAGAGCATTTTAGCTTTGTTATTACTCCGCTGACTGCACAACGTAATGTCTACAGAATAATGACACCATTAATGTTTAGATTGTTTCCATATAAGCTTTACTTTTGCAGTCTGTCTGCCATAGCGTATGAACTTTCCAGTGAAAAAGCAGTCGGTTCCCATCTTTATTTATTACCTTTTTATATTTAGTACCTTTATTTACTTTACGAGTTAATTACACAATATAATTTTAAGGAATAAATGTTCAAAAAACTGCCTGATGTAGCAAATATGACACAAGTGAAAACTCTCATATGCAAATTAATATTTGTTTCTCATCAGAAGGCTCAATAAACACTCAGAATTTTCTGGCAATTATTTCATGGTTCAGCCTTGAAATTAATAAACATATCAATAAGGCCTCCTCACATCAAAATTCTCATATATATATATTTTTTTTTTTGGTTGGTTTGTAAACAAAGTATTTAGTTTTTCTTTTATCATATTTTTAAATCAGAAGCCTGGCTTATATTTTAATTTTTGAGTGTTTTTTGTGCCTAGTTTTAGTTGTTAGTTTTGGTTTAGTTAACTGCTATAACTTTGTGATGAACATGTAACCTGCAGAAAGATGATGACAGAGAAGCAACTCATTTAAAAATGCTACAGTCCCATTAGGAGCCCCTCTGGCTTCTACTGGCACATTTGCAGTTTTTTTTTATGGTAATAGTCTCGTTTAAATATTAAAATAACCTCCGGCACCAACAATGTTTGGCAAAAAAAAAAAAAAATGCAAAAGAAAATACAATTTTCATTTTTTTTAGATGCTTAAATGTCTCTGTCAATGTCTTACATTTTAAATCTGTGAATTTGTTATATATTCTTAATTCTATCAAGGTAATATTTCTTGGGAGGGATTTTGCTCTAAAAGTATGAAATGTGTCCCTCTTTGACCAGATCCTCCTGACATCTACATCTATACCCGGTATGAGGGGGAGGCTAGTGTGATGAACACACTCTTTTGTGTGGCCAACCACTTCTACCCACCCACCATCAACTTCACATGGACCAAGAATGGAGTGGAGCTCACAGAGGGCGTGGCAAACTTACGTTATCGTCACAATCGTGATGGGACATTCCACATGATTTCTACGCTTCTGTTCACTCCAAAACCTGGAGACTATTATATCTGCATGGTGGAGCATCAAGCTGCGCAAGTGCCTATCAGCAAGAGCTGGGGTAGGATTATTACCTTATAATATAAAGTGCCTGAAGTAACTGCTGTTGTGATTTGGCACTTCATAAATAAAATTGAATTAAACTGAACTGAACTGTTTTTATGAATAAGCCAAGGACTCTTGAAATTCTCCCCAGTAGACAATCAGGTGATGATACCAATTGTAGAAACCCTCCAGCAATACCAATACTGTGTTAGATTACATTTTTCTTTTTACATGTAAGGTCTGCAACATTATCGCTTTCATACATCCTAGATTAGCAACTAAAATAAAGCTGTTTGAAGCAAAAAGCAGCCTCCTAACATTCATGTTCTGTGAATCGGGGAACCCTCCATCTACCGTCTGATGTCTTATATTTAATTTATGCTTCCTATTGTCATCCTTCTAAGCAGTTGCACATGTCAAAAGTGATATCACAATTCACTTGATTTGTATTGTAATATGGTTTTTGTAAACCTCGTTCTTGGTTGGAGGCATGGATCTATGAGAGGGTTCGGTCATGTTAATGCTGGAGCTCAGAAATATCCAGCTTAGATAGAGGGAAGAGGTGCAACAGTTTAAAAAAAAAGACAAGGAACCCTGAAGAAATTTTTAAAACATACAAAGAAAAAATCTCTGTGATTTTTTTCATTTGACTTCTTCTTATTCCACACCAGCGCTGATGCAGAGTTGCAGCACTTACAACTTAGGAGAAAACTACAATGAGTCCAAGCGTGCCTCAAGCAAAAAATATGTTTGGCTTTGGTTGATGACATGTGCAACATGCCAATATTAGGGGCTTTTGGGCTAGCTAGAGGATATCCAGGAAATGATTTCCTGTTCTCTGTGCTGGTAACTGTTAACAAATGTAGGTAAAATTTTAAAGGCTAAAGAAAAACTGAGTAGCTTTCACATGAAAACCAGTGTTTTCTTGACTGAAGCATAATCCTTTTTTCACACCTTTACCTGCATACAACCAAAGCCTGCTTGAATGCAGTTTAGAAACATTAAAAGCTTTGCTAACAGATTCTTTGCAGTCTTGCACAGATATCTGTTTATTGTGATAAATGCCTCCTTTGCAGACTCTATATTTAAAAAAGTCATCTGGCTTCCTATGTTTACCTTAAATAACAACAGTCATAGAATTATTACAAGAAGGCCTTTTTAGACATAAACAGATGCAATTTTCAGTCATTTTCAAAATACACAAATAAAATTTTTTTTTTTATTTTTTTATTTTCAGAGTTGAAGGAAAATAAGAGGAGCAGAGTGAGCCCTGCAGCCGTGTTTTTCGGTGTGAGTGTCGTTTTGTGCCTGATGGGATTCGGGACCGGAGTCTTCTTTTTCATCAAGCAGCCAAATTAATGTCTTCAAATTTGAGATTGAAATAATTAAATTAACGTTAATCATTCAATCTTTAATCCTCTGATTAACTGGTTTTATATGTACAAGTAAAACACATCAAAAAACATCCAGATTCTTGTGCTTACAGATAACCTCTCTATATCACTGCATTAATGATAAATGACAGTTTGTTTACTTAATGTGTTTAATGTGTACTTACAATTTGTATTGTTTTTCACTTGACGATGTGGTGTTAATATACTTTGATTTTTAATAAATAGATAATTACTGGGGTTGTTATACAACAGTGTATGGCTGTATAGCACACAGACCTACAAAATAATTTGTGTAGAATAATTCATCCCTGCTAAGAATTTATAGATAAATAAAGCAAACATCTTGCACAACTGTGAACTAAAGAGTTGTAATGTCTTTGTTTGTTTGGTTTGAGGTAGGTATGCGGGCTTGTTTAATAGTTTTTGAAGACTAGCTCGTTGGCGCCCTCTGCTGCACTCCTGGCTGAATGGCAGCCGGGTAAGCAGGCGGCGGCGCCGTTGTTTCATTTATTTTGGTCCCCCTATCAACGGGCTCCTCTTATGTAGTTCCACAACACGCATGTAACACGATCCACAAACTCTGGCGACATGAGTGCTGATAGTTGTGGTGGAAAAGTGGCTTTGCGGAATCTGGTTAACTCCATCAACTGTATCCGAGACCGAGTCAGAGGTAACTGCGCCACATTATCTGTCTGTGTTGTCACAAATGAAACTGCTTAACCATAAAAGCTTATGTCAAGCTAGCTAAACGTGCTAATATATGTGCTAACATTGGTATAAACTTTATTGTTAACTGTTGTAGATTTACGAGTTTAACTGTTTGTTAAACTCGATTCGTGAGTTTAGCAGCAGTTAACGAGTTTGACTGCTGTTTGTTAGCAGACAAAGACGGGGATTTAACTAATGTAACATACAGCGATAAAGACATTTGGCACTTTATTACGTGACCCAGCTACATTTAGCTGCTAATTCATGTTCGCTTTTATTCAGGTTTGTATTCCCAGGTCTTGTAGAAAATGGAGGTTGGGGCTTTTTGTCTTGCTTTTTCAGTTATATTATCTTGTCCTCATCTTAACTGACCTAAATGTGACATTAGACATCAGTGTTACTCGGTAGATGGAGTGTGTTTCATGAGTCAGTTTTGTGAACAAAAACAACTGCTTGTGCAGGACATAAGAATACTTAAAGGTTTGCTTTTACAAAAGTGTAAATCTGAAATACGAAAATGACAAAATGGACAATATCAGACATTTTAATACGAAAAAAAAAATGTTTATCAAGACAAACATACAGACAGGAACTAAAGCGCCACTCAGCCCTAAGTGGCCCTTTAGTTACTGCCATAAATCCAAAACACCTACTTTGTTGTCGTCATCAAAATATTCAGACATTTCATTATGTCCAAAGCAGTGGCTAGCTAATTGTAGTTGATCATTTAATTATTGAATTTTTCAATCTAGTTTATTAATTATTTAGTATGAGGTCCGTGTTTTTCTGTACATGGGAGGTTTTGGTCTTCCCTCTGAAGAAAACCCAGTATATAAAAGCCCAAATATGTTTGTTTTTTTTTCTCCAAAGTAATGTCCAGAAACGACACAGAAATGCACTGACTTCTGTTAACACTTGAGAAGATGAGTCTGATCAAAACTGACAGCTTTAACCCAAGAAACCCTTAAATAATAAAGATTGTAAGAAAGAAATATTTTTGTGCCATGGAGTTGTCTTTAAATCCTATTTTCTGACCACTTATCCATTTCACAGTGATTTTAAACAGCAATAGAAGCTAATTCTCCTTTTTCAGAAGTTGAAATTAGATTATTTAAAGAATAAATTATTTTAATAATTGTTTGTACTGAAAATAATTCTCTGCACTTTGATAACAGTGAAGTTGCAAGGAGTAAAGGTAGTGAAGGTTAGATGAGTAGGCCTGGGGGTCAACCATCCAAAACAACAGACAGTGCACAAGAAGAGATTTCCAGCAGGCTGGAGACGAGGTGTCATGGGTGATCTTTTGACAGAGGGAGAGCAGCAAGAGTGAAAGGGGAGGTTTACAAGATCGTAGTTTGAACTTCTATGATGTATGGGTTGGAGACAGTGGGACTAAAGTGGGGAAAAAACAGGAGGTGGAGCTGGAGGTGGCAGAGTTTAAGAATTTCTTTGGAGTTATCAGTATGGACAAGATTAGAAATAAGTACATCAGATGGACAGATCAGACTGAGCAGCACAAAGTTAGAGAGGCAAGGCAGAGATGCTTTGAACATGTGCAGAGGAGGGATATGGAATATCCTAGGCAAAGGGTGTTGTATATGGAGCTGCCAGGCAGGAGAAAAGGACCACAGAGAAGATTCATGGATGTAGTGAAGGAAGACATGCCAAGGTTTGGTATGACAGAAGAGCATGCAGGGACAGGATGAGATGGAGACAGATGATCGACGGAGCAGCCAAAAGAAGAAGACTCCTCTGCAGTTTAGCTTAAGAACTAGAACCAAGAATTTAGAACATTTTTTTTCCTTCGCAGATGGAGAATCAAACGAGTCCGATGGAGCATTCAACCTCTCCAACTTCTGGGACACTTTGAGTTGAGTATCATGATCTCTTGCTGCTGTTTCAGCTCCTAGACTTTTGAACATCCTTTGACAACTGGATGATGTTCATGTCTCGTTACAGTGAATGTTTTGTGAGAAATGTATTTGCATCGTTTTTATAATGTTTTTGCAATGACTCATTTGATATTAAAAAAAAAAGAAAAGAAAAGAAGCATTAGGAGAATTCCTTCCTTCATGGTCTTGTTGTTACATGATGCAACTGTCTGTGTCAACAGATCAGGCAGTGAAGGCAGTGTCCCAGGAAGCCACTAAACTCAGCCTGGCCTTCTCCAAACCTCCTCTGCCATCACAACAGGTCAGATTATTTCTGTAATCATGAAGGTTTCTCACTGAGCTGATAAACAGATTGTTTTGAAGTCTGGTATAGTGTAAAAATAAGAAATGATGATGATGATGTGAGCTGAGCTCTTACTTGGAGCCATAAATTATTGTCATGTATCTCAGGGTCTTGAATTTCCACATAAACCTTCTAAAGACCATTACATCATTTGTTTTCTGTCTGTTTTTCCTCCACAATCTCCAGGATGGAGAGAAGCTGGCAGAGTCCATCATGAAGAGCATCCTCACACTGTCCACAGTGTATTACTGGCTACCTAAGAGCCAAGGTAAAACCCTGTGAACAGCAGAATAGTTATGTTGTATTCAGACGAGCGAGGTGAATATGTTGCACTGCATTCAGGTTTTTGGACCATTTCACAATGCCAGAATATGTACACTTGTCAATCTAATCCAGACTCCAAAAGCCAGAGCAAGTGCCCGTCTGTGGGCTTATCTATTTACTTCAGTGCGACGCGCTTCTTCACTCACCCTATTTTTTTGGAAAATAGGAACAACTTATTGAAATGTGCAATTATAGACTGCAATACAGTTAATGAGGCAAAAACAGTTCGTATAATTCTAACAAGCATCAAAGTCAGTATTTGGTATGACCCCTCTTATTCTTTAGCACAGCCTGAACTCTCTTAGGCAAACTCGTCTTCTATTTGTCTTGTTTCCTCAGACTTTTTAAGGACACACTGTGCATCTCTGTTCCACTCACAGTGAGACAAAGTGAGAGGGGGGAAAAAGAAAGTATATCCAATGTAGCAACAGCAGTATTCACACTTTAGCTCAGTGTTAAAGTCTCACAAATAAATAGCATAAATATATATTTTTGTTATTTTACTACTAAAATCATGCAATATAAATCAAGCAAACTGTATTCGTGGATACATTTATGTGTCACATTATATTTGACAAATTTAGGAAAGAATAGTTTAGGTTTAACCTGATATTGCCTTAAGTATACAGATTGATTTCTAGTCTTTTCCTAGAGTGGTGTGTGAATGTGAGTGTGTGTGTGAATGACTGAATGTAGTGTAAAGCGCTATACAAATACAGGCCATTTACATTCAAGTGTACAGCTTGATAATTTAACACTGGTATCAGTAGGTATCTGAAGCTGAGGTGTCTGAATCGGACTGGAGAAGATTGATGCGTCCTTACCCACTTATTCACCGCTTTTAGCCACTGCAACCTCCAAAGTACAACCAGAGACTGGAATTAAGTAATAGTAACATCATTTTTGAACTTACAGCCATTTCTGTGTGATCACATGGCACAAATACTTCACTTCACATTTGGTTTGAATAGAACAAGTGTGATTCAGTGGTTGCGAACTAAAAAATAAAACTTATGTACAGAAACAGTCATTGTAACTTTCTTGATGCTGATGCTGTCAACATTTATTGTGTTGTGAGTTGATTTGAAATACATGTAGATCTGTACCGTTATTGCGACTTCAGTGTCAGAGTGTTTTGACCTTCTGTTCTCTCGGTGTCTCAGGGCTGGCTCTGCGCCGACTGGTCAGAGATGCTACTGTCGAGGTTCTAGAGGGAGTTGCACAACTGGTAGAGGTCATAATGAGCTCACCTGTAGAAAGGTATGGACACCAAACCCAGAGTTTTACATGTGGGACCTGGGAAATTGGGAAATTTTAATTTTGTCTTTCAATGATTACAAGGTAAACAACAAGGTAAAGAAAATAGCATAAGGCTTGCATCGATGCCGACATTTTGTTGTTTGTTGGTGTTATTTGTTTGCAATGGTTTACGTTCCTCCATGATAGAAATCTGTCAGAATATAAAAATCACACCAGGCAAAATAAACAAATTCTGCATATTACAGTTACTTATGTAAGGACATGAGTTTTAAGGTGAATTAAACGATCTGTTTCACAGTGAGATTTAACCGGATCTCTCCTGGCTGGTGACTACATGGTTCAGATGTAGTAATGGTACTGAGTTTGTACGACCATATTTTTCAGAAATCTGTCATGTTTCTGTCATTTCTGAACATTTAATGGGTAAAAAATATAATTTTTAGAATCAACAGGTAGCACCAAAATAGGACTTGGGGAAATCCCGTGATTAAAAAAATGAGTGCTCTCCGCATTAATGCGTTAATGCACCCGTGTAAGGGGTTACTCGGTGTTAGTGCAGACCCATCTGGAGTGCAGAATCGACAAAGCTAGGACAAACTGCCTGAAATGCTGTGACAGAGACATTTCAGGGATTTTGAGTCAGTCTGCGCTCCAGGTGGATTAATTGTTAATCGCGTTAATTGTGATGACAGCGTTAACATGTTTAAGCCGCGTTTGATTAGCGGCTTAAACTGTAAGTTGTAAGGTATTTTCTTTATATTCCCCTTTCTGTTTTATTTTCTTCTTAATTTATCATCTTCTTCCTCGTTCTCTTTCCAACACTTTCTTCCAGCCTCAGCCAGGAACAGCTGATGTCAACAGGAGGAGTGTGGTCTGCCTGCGACCAGTTCCCTCAGTTGTCAAAAGGTCCGTTGACAAAGACAAAACAAAACAAACCAGTAAAATGATGTTTAACTCCAGCCTTTCAGGGAGTTGTTTTATGATACTTTGAAGCAGTGGGGTTTTAGGAAAAGAAGCAATGAAACACTATAAATTTGGAAAAATTATGCATGAAGTATCAAAGTAAAAATAAGTATTCTGCAGAAAAGTGTTCCACGTCACTGTTAAACTGATTAGTATTATTGCTGCTTATCTTTAAGGTTGAGCTTATTTAAAATATTTCATATTTAAGTTTAATGTTCAGCATCATATTTTATGAAGCATGTCGTGGCTGTCTTGTGAGGACCACATATTGCAGAAAAAACAAAAACAAACTGTTGTTCATGAGCTCGGAAACACAACCCTACAAGTTGGGGGTTTTTTTTAAGTATACAGTGCTAGCTGAGCCAGCACCTGGTTGTTTTGCTTGTTTTTTTAGACTAGATATAGTCAGAGATGTCTGCCTTTCTCCATCATGGTCAGCTTTCCTATCTAATGTACTAAAGGCATTATTAACAGTTTTTTCACTCTTCATCTTCTCTATCTCTATATCAAACATGTTGGCCAAGCTGGTTAGCAAGAGGAAACTATGATGATAAATGCCAGGAACCTGTCTACTTGCCAATGCTAGTTGTTTCCACAGGGCGTGCAGATTGTAACTGATCCCAGAGCAGTGAAAGTGGACCCAGTGACCGCTGTCAAAGATCTGAGGTTTATCCACAATGCATATGTGCAAACCACCAGAGAAAAGGTGGCCAATCGGCTCCAGTCATTGTTAATTGAGACAGATAAACTAATAAAATGGAGACAGCTGCAGTTTCCTATGATTATGAAACAAGTGGAGCTTTAAGCGGTGATAGCCAGCTGTGGCCACAAGACGGCTTCATGACAGCACTGTGACATAAAAGGACAGAGATTTCTTTACTTTTGTGTGTTTTATGTGCTTGGCCTGACGGAACGCCACTGCTTTGAAGTTACATGTTAATATTAGAAGCAGGAGATATCTTTACTTTGATAATGCTTTATATGCCTTTACATTGATTATGACAGCAATAGCAGTATTACCATTAAGCCTGCAGGTGGGGATGTTTTTCTCCCAGTCTAACTCCCAGTCTGTGTATCAGTGCCATAAGCTATTTCATCAAAACCAAAATGTCTACATTTAATAAAGAACAGGTGTGAATTTTATCCATTTATATCCATTTATATCCATTTATATTCATTTTTGGATTGTTAGAAACATTAAAACAGAGAAAGTACATTTATCCACAAATTTTTAGCGTCACAGTTAAGTGATCAAAAAATCTGCCGTCAGACGAGTGTTTTAGCTGATACACAAAATAAGAAAACTTTAAATATTGATATAGGATTCTAGTCTTTAACTGGTAATTTTGCTCAAAGTTTTACAAGGTTTTAATAATGGGTGTATTGATCTTCTCTAGATAATAAGGCAGCAGTGGTCGTGGTTCTGTTGTGTGAGGTTCGAGTTGTGAAAGATGCCATAGAGGAAATTGAACAGGTATACACACACTGTGAATTTCATATTTGCTCTGGTGTTTATAACTAGGCCTTTATTTCAACATTATTATTATCATTATTATTATTATTATTATTCGTTCAGTTTTAGAAGTTTTCTTTGTGTATTTTTTTATAATAATAAAGCCAGCAGTGCCAGAAAGTGCACTTGAAGCTGGCTGATGAAAGAAAGTCAGTCCCCATAGACTCCAACTTTACAGCAAAATTGAATATGTTTATATTCTGGTATGGTTTTGGTTTACTTTCACCTCTCATAAGAACTGTAATGGCAAAAATATGTTGCCTATCAAATCCCATCAGGCATTAGCTGAGGGTGAAGACCCATTCAACGACGTACTCGATGATGACCAGGACGGAGATGAACCCCGAGGCAACCAGGATATGTACTGGTCAGAGAACGATCGGCAGGTGATTGGTGCGTGCCAGGGACTGATAAAAGCAGCAGCAGCTTGTCTGAGGAAACTTAAATCAGCTGTCAAATCCAACGGTGACTTCAGCACTCCCCAGAACGTGTCACAGCTTGACGACTTGGCTGATATCAGCAAAGAAATCAGCCCTGGGTAGGCACATGCATACAAACATACACACACACACACAGGGGTCAAGACTTCACACTAGTAGAAACAAAAAGAACTAAACAGCACAAAATTTCTAACAGTTAGACCCTGGATGCTTATACTTCTTTGGCTAATGCAGACGTTCTTATATGTTATATAAATAATTATGGTTTCCATAGTTTTTATGCAAATCAAAATGTGTGTTTGGGGTCATAATTAAGGTGCAAGTTTTAATGATGTCACAGTCATGCAGACTCACCTTTGTCGTTGGTTGTCTTTTCTCCTTAGCGTTGATGATCTGGCCCTTTGTCTCTACCCCCCCATGGATTATAATGGCGTCGAAACCAATGTAAGACACACTTTCATCCAATGGGATTAAGAACGTTTTGGTTACAGCTCTGATCAAAAGTTCACAAAGTCAGCCACCTGAAAAAGCTGAGTGATCTGAGTGTTTCATTTTTTAAATGTGGACCTTTTATAAAATCTCCAAATATTTGGTTAGAGTCAGCTTACTTCGGGTTGTAACATCATTGCTCAGAGTGTCATGCTGTTTCCAGGCCTGTGGTGTTGATCTGCTTGTGTAATTTATGTGAACTGTGCTGGTATGTAAAGTGACAAGAGTGCAGGGGAGTGGAGTCAGATGTGCACAGAAAAGCTTTTAACTTCAGTTGATCGCTGTTTCACTGCCTTGCTTTTTCACAAGACAGCATATAGATAATGTAAAGAATCGCAGGGAGCCAAACAACTGAAAATCCCCCCCCACCTGCTCTGATATGTACTGCTGTAAATGGGTAGGAGAAACTACCATTTGTCCACTGTTGCCCGCTTACACAGTTTTCTAAAAATTGCTAGCTTGCCCCTCCCTCCTGATGACCTCATGCATTTTGTGAAAGAAAGTTTGACGTATAAGGGAGCAGCATTTAATCTGTTATGTCTGACAATCATGAAAAGCAATCATTTTATGACTCTGCAGTTGCACAAGCTAACACTGAGAGCAAACAAAGAAATGTTAATATAAACAGGGCATGAGCATTTCTTTGTGGTCAAGAAGGAATATTCTTGACTTTCCTAAAAAGTATATTTGTGCTTCTGAATTTTCTCAGTTCCCACTCTTTTTCCAAAGTATTGAACACAGCTCAGACTGTATTTTTACTAAACAGCAAATTAAATGTATTGGAACTACACTTTTAAATGGGCCTGTTATAATCTTTATTTATCATATTATGGGCTGTGGTGTAGCCTCTCAGATCATCCTCTGTTTAAAAACAAATCGTTTTATTTTATGACTGCTTTTATCGCAACTTTCTTCTGATTGGCCACATTTTGCAAATAAAAGGTTTGGACAGTAGATGAGTGGGACTTCTGTGATTAGAGTCAGAGCTGTGTGCCTGAGATGACGATATTAAGGATGTCCAATCTCTGACGTATTGATCCAAAAAAACATGTTATGAAACAGAGTGTTTAGAGGGGACTCAAGTCTGAATTTATACAGTTGGGGAATTATTTATTTGATCCTCTACTGAATTTCTAAGTTTGCTTACTTACAAACAAATGAACAGTCTTTCATTTTTAGGGTAGTTTCATTTTAATAAAGAGAGACAGAATGATGAGAATGAGAAATATAGAAGAAAAAACACATTACATAAAGTTATAAAGTAATCTTGCTTCATGGGGTAAGGATGATCTTGAAAAAGGTGATGGATCAGTCGAAAACTATATGAAAGGAGCTTGTTGATGATCCAAAGGCAGCCGAGAGTCTCTATGTTCTTTTGTAAGTTGGCAAACTTAAAAATTCAGCAGGAGATAAAATAATTTCTTTCTCTCTTCATGATATATAAACGTAGAACCTGAATAAAGACATTGTTTTTTTTTTCTCAACAGGTGTGTAAATTAGCAGCACTTCTAAAGAAAGTTCTGGAAATCATCAGGTAAGAGTCACTACAGTCAAAACAAAATGTTCTTAGACATTAAGTGACACTACAACATAACATGAAAATAAAACTGGAAAGCAGATTGTGCCTGGTCTAATTTGTCAACCAGTTTCCCTCGGGGAAAGTAGTTGGGTGTGTTAGAGAATGTTGAGAAAGAGGTGGGTGGAGTTTCTGAGAATCTGATCTTATCTGATCATGTTGTGTTACATCTTTTCGGGTTGCATGAACACTGAACATGACTTGTTCACATCAATGTTGGACAATCTGGTTTCTTTCTATGAGTGATGTGAGAGGAAAATGCTCTTTTATTGACTCTGTTTATCATTGTTCAGGTCCAGTCACGTGTGTGGGGAGTCAGAACTGACCTGGGTTCAGTTCTTAGATGGAGCCATCGATCACAACCTGCAGAAAGCCAAAGACCTCATTCAGCAGGAAAGCTAGTGTATCTGTGCAGTTACGCGTGTTTCTGTTGTTTTGTTTTGGGTTTTTTTGTTGTTGTTGTTTTTTGTTTTTTTTGGGGGGGGTATAAAAATGCTATGGATTTTGAAACAAGTATAAATGTGTGCAAAAGAAAAAAATAATTAAGAGGTGGGACTTCTTACACTGTTTTTTGTGAGAACACAATGTAATCTGCATAAAATAACATGTCATAGATCTCACTTACTCAAATAAACAGCATTTTCAGTTCTGTTAAAATGAAAGAACAGCTTCATCAACAGATTATGTAAGCAAAATAAAACAAAATCACTCTTTTTGAATCCTCTACCTGAAAGAATGGGGAATGAAATATAACTTTCATGTTGATGGTCACAGAGACATAAAACAGTCTGAAGAATTACAGATCAAATTTAAGTTAAAATGCTATTAAAATGTTTGGTGACTTTGCCCAAAAATAAGGTTATGCATGTGTCAAGTTACTTGTTTTGATGAGATCTTAGGGATACAGTTGGCTAAGAAAAAACGTGAATGCACTTATCCACAAGTGGATAAGGTCTGAAAGCAGAGCGCACAAACACTGGGAAACGAAAGGTTACTTTTCTCACTGTAGAAAGGTGTGTCTACCAAAATTATGCAGAAAGTAGATGTGAGTCCCTTTAGGGGGAAAATGCCACTGTTACGCCACCAACTGGTGTGCGAAGTCCCGTGAAGCTTTGTACTGTCGTCATCTAGCAATTTTCCCTCTTATTCACAGAAATATAGGTATGGTTCACAGCCCAGGTCCTTATTGAACGACAAGTGGAATGTTCTGATATTAAACTTTTAAAAGATACAGTTTAACTGATTTTTTTATTTTTAGTTGACAGTACTGGAATAACTAAATAATCCATATATCTCCTTAAAGCCTAAAATATAAAATAATTGGAGGAAAATTACACTTTTTGTAAAAATGCAGACTGGACCATCTGACTTTTTTTTTTTTTTAAGTTAATTTTAATTTCCATACATGACAAAAATCACACTGATGATGTAGAAGTCTCAAAAACTCACAGAAAATCTGTGTGTTTGAAACATGATACACTAGGGGTTAAGGGGACATTTATTGGGTTTTTGTGTAGCCCCTCTATTCACCCTCAGCCTTCAGAGCAGAGTTTTTGGATCTCAGGGATTATTTGTACAGTGCATCTGATAGTCACAATGCTTTACTTGTTCCTATATTTCATCATGTTACAGCCTCATTTCAAAATGAGTTAAATTCACAATACTCCGTAATTACAAAGTCATAAAAAGTTTGCTTGAAATTCTTGCAAATAAATTTTAAATAAATAAATAGTATAACATGAGTTTTCACAGCCTTTGCCATGACACAGTTGGCAGCATTGAGCTCAGGTGCACCCTGTTTCCACTGATCATCTGTCTGACGTCTCTTCAGCTTCGGTAATCGACCTGTGGGCAATTCAGTTGACTGGACAGGATTTGGAACTTGTCTATAAAAGATCCCATACCTGACACTGCATATCAGAGAACAAACCAAGCCATGAAATCCAAATTACTACGGGACTGACAGCCCCAACAACCACAGTGGCCTCCATCATCTGTAGATGGAAGAAGTCTGGAACTAGCATGACTCTCCGTAGAGCTGTGTGTCTGGCCAATATCAGCAACTGAGGTCTTCGTGAAAAGCCTGAGTCAGTCAACATGAACCAAAAGAGAGATGGGATAGTCTGATACAACATTAGGCAATATTATTGGTTAGTCAGCTTTAGATGATTCATGCTAATTGCATCCTATTCATGCGTGACTACATTCACCAACTAAGAAGCTGAACTGCATGCTAAGACATGACACAAGCAGTGCCAGGGTGTTCAAGGTTTTAATTTTTTTCAATTTTCTATTAGCTTAGATTCCACATGATTGTTTACAGCGGTTACAACCCAGTTTCTCTGTAGAAAGGGGATTAACATTAATGAACCAGATGGAGAACCACAGATAGTATTTAATAAGTAAAGCTTTAGTTTACTGGACAACCACTGGACACAAATTTTGAGGAACAAAGACTCAAAGTTACCTGTCTCACGTTTGAAAGGTCTCAGTTCTTGGAAGTAAAACAACAGTAGACCTCTAACAGGTTCCGTAATTTTTTTCTGTGAAATGCAGGGTGTGGGCACCGATTGGAAGTAAGGGTTTGTCTACCCTAATTAATGCAGAAAGTAGTTGTTAGTCATTTCAGAGGGAAAAGTGACACTGTTATGCAACCAGCCTCATGCTGAACATTGTGGCTATCACCATCTTAGCTTTTGAAACCAGGTTTAATGAGCAACATGCAAATTGCATATCACTAAAACTCTAAAGCATACCAGATTTTACACTTTTTAGTTCATGGATCAATGTATTTCCTGAAACAGGAGTCTTAACTTTACTTTGTTTGTTTACTTTGTCTTTGTCTGTCTAGCTTCAACTTTAATGAATTGTCATACTTTTACTGCTGTCATATTGGGTTTGTCTGCTCAGCACCAGTAACTGGTGAACACTGTGGAGAATTTAGCGGCTAAGGAGCCTGATATTGCCCTCAAGAGTTGGTAACACTAAGAAAGATGTGAAATATATGGTTCACGATAACATGTACCATCTGCTTCATCTGTAGGGGGCTATAATGTTTTTGTGACCTGAAACAAAGGTTTTTTGTAAATTTAAAGTTACCTCGAACTGAAAGGTATCTTTAAACTAACCAATGTAAATGTAGTTTAAATGTAACTAGATGTTGATTTAATATTGTAAAAAATAATATATGTAATAGTCACATAAATTTAAGTACAAATTTATGACAATTATTTTTGTCCAGATTGTACAGTATGTCTAAAGTCAAATTAGTCTTTTTTCATAGTGCAAAAACCAAATAGGAAATAAAATTGTGTAAAATCAAGTCTGCATGTCCACATGTGTTTTGTGGACTTGGAGAAGGGATTTGACCATGTCTGTCAGGGTGTTCTATGGGAGATGGATGTGGCTTGAAAGGGCTTGGTCTGCATAGCTGGCAATAAGTTGGACTCATTCCAGGTGGGACTGGATTCCTTCAAGGCTGCCCTTTGTCACTGATTCTGTTTGTCCACTTGGGTGGTCTCACCTCTGCTTTTGGTGGATGATGTGGTTCTGTAGGCATCATCAGGTGGTGGGTTCCAGCTCGCACTGGAGGGGTTTGCGGCCGAGTGTAAAGCGGTGAGAATCAGAATCAGCACCAGTACCTTCAAGTCTGAGGCCATTGTCCTCAGCCAGAAAAGGGCTGAGTGCCCACTGCCAGTCAGGGACGAGTTACTGACCCAAGTGACGGAGTTTAAGAATCTTGGGGTCTTGTTCATGAGTGAGAGGAGCAGGAGAACCATAGATGGATTGGTGATGCACTGGTCCGTTGTGGTCAAGAGAGAGCTGAGTGTAAATGCAAAGCTCTTGATTTACTGGTTGATCTACGACTCCAACCTAAACTATGATTATAAGCTTTGACCGAAAGAACGTGATTGCGGACACAAGTGCCGGAAATGAGGTTTCTCCGAAGGGTGGCTGGCCTCTCCCTTGGAGATAGGGGGAGTTCAGCTATCTGGGAGGGACTCAGAGAGGAGACGCTACTCCTCTACATTGAAAAGAGCCAGTTGAGGTGGGTCAGGCATCTGACGAGGATGTTTCCTGGGCGCCTCCTGCATGAGGTGTTCTGGGCATGTCCCACCAGGAGTTGGCTCCGTGGCAGACAAAGGACACGCTATCCATCTATTTTTTGAGTAATCCTGCTAACAAAGAAAAAACCAAACCCACTGCATGACTTCACTACAAGAGGTGTGATTATTAGACCTGACTGTAACTTGTGGATTACAGTTTGTGATTACTCATGTGATTTAAAATGAGGAAATGCCTGGAAGCATCACACAGTGGGCACAAACACTTGATTAGATGTTTATGCAGTATCTAGACTCTTGTTGATTAAAGTACAATATGCATTAGTTTAAAACAATTACTCATTGATAATTCACAGGTATATTAGTATAATACATTGCACTAATGTGGCCCAATATACAGTCCCCACCATAGTTTTTTATGATGGGGACTGTGATCCCCCCCCCCTTCTGAAGGAAGGGGATCACAGTGCATGCTTGCATTCATGGTTCCCTCAATTAACTGTAGCTCCCCAGTGCCAGCAGCAGTCATGCAGCCCCAAACAATGACAACCCACCACCATGCTTGACTGTAGGCAAGACACACTTGTCTTTGTACTCCTCACCTAGTTGCCGCCACACACCCCTGACACCATCTGAACCAAAAAAGTTTATCTTGGTCTCATCAAACCACAGGACGTGGTTCGAGTAATCCATGCCCTTAGTCTGCTTGTCTTCAGCAAACTGTTTGCGGGCCTTCTTGTGCATTATCTTTAGAAGAGGCTTTCTTCATGGACGACAGCCATCAGGCTGATCCTCCACGCCTGGCAGCACTCATACATCTATTTTCAAAAGACAACCTCTGGATATGACACTAACCAGTTTTGGTTAGAGCTACATGATGATCATTTTTGTGCAGTTACAAAATTCACAAATGCAGCTGAGGATTGGCAGACTTCTTTATGCAGTTCTCCAGAGAGCTTACATCACACACGAGCATTGTGTTTATTTGTTACCCTGCCCTTTTGAGGCACAAAACTAAAGTTTGTATAATTTTTCTTTTTATTTTAAGTCTCAGTTTTTAAAGGAGTGAATCTCAACTGTGAGACCAACAACACTGAACATCACACCAAAAAAATCTCAAAGGATGAGCTGATTGTGAGGCGAGGCCAGCCGTTCACCGTCAAAGTTGAACTGACAGAACCTTTCAAGCCTGACTTTTACCCACTCACCATCACTGCAGTGACAGGTTTGTATGTTATTAAATAGTCCATTTTTATTAGACTTTTTCAAAAGCGTATAACCATGCTGAGAAAGGAAATTTTCTTTTTATCATTGAACACATGCCTAAGACTAACACCCTGTCATTCTGAATAACTGACAGAAACCATGGATGTTTAATTTATAATGTTGAATTAACAATTGATTTATTAGAATGAATTGTTAATTCAAAGTGTCTTTGACTCGTCTTCCTCCCCTAATAAAGATAGCTGCCCCTTCCTGAGCCTGGTTCTGCTGGAGGTTTCTTCCTGTTAAAAGGGAGTTTTTCCTTCCCACTGTTACAAAAGTGCTTGCTCACAGGCTGCGTGTAGTATAGTATACTTTAAAAAGAGGATTCAAATACACAAAACCAGAATCAGGTATTCCAAGCAGAAAGTGGGTTTTATTAATGAGATGATCGAATTAAAAAAGAGAAAAATAAATAAAGATCAAGAATAATAAAAACAGGTGAAACCAATAAGGGTGGGGCAGACTATAAGGGTGAGGAAAATCCCAGATGTGACACGTAAGGGAAAGGCTCTTTTATAAGTAATCTAAGCTTTACTTAAAGGCGTTTGCCAACTAGCACAGTTGGATATGACAGTTGATTTTCTTTTTTTGGGTACACACCTTTCAGTCTTTTGCTGGCATCAGGTTCCAGCTCCATTCCTCAATGAAGCCTGAACTCTCTACGGCAAGCTTTCATTAAATTTCTGTAAATAGTCTTCAATATTAGTTTTCCAGGTTTTCTGAAGAGCATTCAAACCTCTTCTTTGGGTTTTGGCTGCCTTTTGTTCTGTTCTCTCTCAAGATGATCCCAGGCTGCTTGTTGGACCCGGCCGGTGTGACATCTTTGACCAGTTTATGGACCACTGTTTTAAAGCCCTGATTTGTCTAACATGTCAAGGGAACTGACTGAGGAACCGTACTTTTCTAATAGGGACTTGTCAATCACAGAGCAGATCCACCCTCAAACATATCTAGCTTATCATTGTTTTTGACGATAATGAAGAAAAAACGTATAACAGGAACATTTTGTTGGATTCAGTAAAACTTGAACATAGGAACTGAGAGTATAAACTCATTAGAAAAGTGTTTACTTATTGCTGTTTTCTTATACTGTTCTTTGCAACTCCACTTTTTTTTAAGCAGTTGCCCCCTGCTGGCCATTAGAAATAATGCAGATATAACTCAGTTTTTCTTCTTTACATCTTTCATGTAGACTCTTTGGTTAAAATTAGTAGCTTGAAGGTATTGTATTGTTATGTTATTGATCTCTGTGAATCCTCTCTACAGGAGAAAATCCATCTGAGGACCTCGGGACAAAGTCATGCTTTGGTATCCCTGACAAAATCCAGCGTTCACCGTCAGCAGAGGCAGTGTGGAAGGTGGAGCTGGAGAAGAGATCCTATCCACTAACAGGCTCCTTAAATTTGACCATTACCCCTCCAGCTGACGCTCCAATCGGAGAGTACAACTTAACTACCAGATATAGGGACGAGGAAACACTGTTGGCAAATCTGGTAGTGCTCTTCAATCCCTGGTGTCCTGGTAGGTTTGTTATCTTTTTGTCTGCCCACCTGTTTGACTAACTGTCCATCAACACTGTTCATCTGTTGATGGGTTTTCATTAAAAAAAAACCCCAAAAAAAACAACAACTACCAATCACTGATCTGCCTGTCTCATGTTTTTACCCAGATCCCTGTCTCTCTTTAGATGATTCAGTGTCTATCTGTGATGAGGCAGAGACACAGGAGTATGTGATGAATGAACATGGCATAATCTACAAAGGAAGTGGAGACTACCTCATATCTATTCACTGGGACTTTGGGCAGGTATAAATATTTTTTTTAAAATCATGATAATAATCTTCTATGTAATAACCTACAACCCTGCAGTTTAAGATAAGCTGCTCTCTTCCTGTCCAGTTTGAAGAGGACATGGCAAAGATTTGTCTGAAGATCTTAGATGTCAACCCAAAGCACCTGGAAAACCCAGCTAAGGATGCTTCTGCTCACTGTAACCCCATCTATCTCAGCCGTGTGGTCAGCGCCATGGTAGGATATATGCTCCGTGTGTCATTTGCCTAGAACATTTCTGCAAGAAGGTGATTTGAAGTGTTTAACATAAAATATAAGGCATTAGGGTAAAATACGAACGCAATATAAAATGAAGGAATAATTAAAAAGTATAGAAAGAAGGAAGGAAATGAAAAATGAAAAAGGGAGTTAGAAGTAGAGTAAATTAAAGGAAGGAAGAAAATAAGTAAGATGTGAAGATAGAAGGGATAAATAAGAAGGAAGGAAGATGTATGTATTTTTCCCTAATTTATATATTTTGACATAATTTATAACAAGTTGTTGGAAGTACATTTTAATTTTTTCATTCATTAGTTTATTTTACGGTGAGCAGCTTGGCAAACCAGAAGAACAGCTCTTCCAGTATTATTTATACGACAAATTGAGAGCTGGCCAAAGAAGCCAACAAACATAAATGGTCCTGTTTTCATTATATAGGAAATATAGCTTGCTGTTAACTAATGGTTCACAGTCATTTTGAGAGGGGACAATGCTCACATGTATAAATCACATTATGAGAGAGAACTTTGCATTCCTTTTTTCTTCCAGATCAACAGTGGAGATGAATATGGCTTCCTGGGGGGACGGTGGGCAGGTCCATTTTGGGGTGGGGATGAACCCTCTCACTGGTCTGGCAGCTATCACATCCTGAAGCGCTGGCACAACATCGGCTGCCACCCAGTCAAATATGGACAGTGCTGGGTATTTGCTGGCGTGATGTGTTCAGGTATACATGCTCAGTAACACAAACTCCATTATGGCCGGACAGGGTTCTAGTTCTACATGCACTAAACGGTTACTTTGCTGGGTACATCTGATAGACTGTTCGTTAATGCAGATATCTAAGCAGCCAATCACATGGCAGCAACTAAATTGATTTAGGCATGTAGACATAGAAAAGCAGACATGGTAGTTCAAAATGAATCATCAGAATGAGGAAGGAAAGATGATGACTTGAAGTGAGATGGTTGATGATGCCAGAATCGCTGGTTTGAGTATCCCACAAACTGCTGATCTATTGGGATTTTCACACACAAACATCTCTGTTTTATAGAAAATGGTCGGCAAAACAGATAATATCCAGTGCGCACCAGTTTCTGGGAGAAAATGCCCTGTTTTAAGAGGTCAGAAGAGAATGGCCGCAGTGCTTAGTGCAAATTGGAGTACAAAAACAACTAAAATAACCACATGTGGTTATATGTGGTTCTGTCATCTGTCTTTTCCTGACACTTTCCATCACTGGGGGAGTGCAACCCCAGCTAGTGGCTTAACAATAAGAACAACAACATTTAAAAATAAAATGAAAAACTAATGTGCAATTTGAGAAATTTCTCATTGACTTTTTTTTCTTTGTGTTTGTGGTTCCAGTAATGCGTCTGTTGGGCATCCCATGCCGTGTGGTCACCAACTATCAGTCAGCTCATGACAGCAACAAGAATCTGATCATTGATGTGTACCATGCTGACTATGGGGTCAGAGAGAAAGAGACCAAGGACAGTGTCTGGTAAGATGACACAAGCTCATATGGCTTATACACACACACACACACACACACACACACACACACACACACACACACACACACATTTCAGAGTTCCTGTTGTATCACTTCATTAGTATTTTAATATTTACTTTTCTCTCAAAGTGTGAATTTTATGTCTAACTGTTAGACATAGACCTTTTTTACTTTATTTTGAATAAGTTAACCAAATCAGTTAACGAATAAAAGCTCATCCAATCCACCATGTCAGTTTGAAATGTTCTCCCTCATATATGTAGTTTGAGAATCATACAGTCATGTTTGACTCTTAGGAAATAAAATCATCAATCGCTTTTTATACTTTAAAGTAGAGCTTTTCATGTCTGAGTAATGTAAACACACACACTGTATGAAACAATAAAAGTAAACTGGATATGAGCTGTACTGCAGCTGAAGATGACATCAAACCTTGCTAACAGCTGTGATGATAAAACTGTATTTTGTAATTTTTTCTTGTGCATACAAAAGGCATGAAACACACTGATCACAGTCTGATTATGAACCCCAGACCATTAATAGCCAAAGGCTATAAACTAGCTGTGTTTCATGCTCTTTATATTAAATGCAGTTTGAATAAACAAACACACACACACACACACACACACACACACAACTTAGTCGGACTTTAATTTTTGGAAAAAAAAACAAACAATGGACATTACCTACAAAAAATCTAAAAAATCTGAAGCTAAACATGATGCATATTACACCTGGTACACAAGAACTCATACCTTATTACACTATTTGTGGTGCTGCAGGTATCCAAGCCAAAGGACGGTCAGGACGTGAGTCTGAAGCTGGTGCTGAACAGTGAGAGCAGCACTGCCAGGCCTGTGTCCATCAATATCAGCGTCCAGGCCATGAGATACAATGGCTCACCGGTTGAAAACATCCAGAGTGAGGTGAAGGAAGGGACACTGCTGCCTGGGAAAGGTGGGTCTCTGGACACAAGTACTTTGTTTAATTCTTAGACTAGACATAGCTCAATACCAGATTGACAGTGAAACGTGAAAATGAATCCATCTGTAGGTCATATGAGACACAGCAACAATTATGAACCTCTCTCTCTATCTGCTCCAGATCTGTCCATCCCTTTTTTATTCCCCTTCTTGGTGTATCATGAGCACATGGTGGACTGTGAGAGCATGAAGATTTCAGCTATGGTCACAGATAAGCTGGAGCCGAAAAATGTGTACCTAGCAGTGAATGATGTCATTCTGTTGGATCCTCCAATCTCCATCACATAGCTGTCACATAAGCTCATTGCTGCTGGTATCTCCTGTTTTACTTGGTTTAATGCTAAATATAAAGATAAATATATAATATAATATACAGAAATATAAAGTAAAAGTCTACAGTTATGCCAGCAGCTGCTTGAGGCTGTTCTTGGGTTTAGCAGTACTTTAAGCAAATAATACATAAATAACTATATTTGGTATGTTAATTTTTCCCAATGAGAATGTATTGATGAGAAGCAGAATTTACTCTGACGCGATCATCATCTTCTCATGTGTTAGAAGGATAAAGGCTTATAAACAAAAACAAAAAAATGTGTCACTCCTGATGGACGTGCATTTGAATGTAATTGGGTATTTAGTGTTTTAATGTCCACCAGTGTCCATGTTTATCCATTAAGGATGGGACATTTCAATTTCAATGAGTAAATCCGTAAAAGGTAACTCTAAAAATACTTTAGTAGCTTTAAAAAGCAATGTGATAAGAGATTAATAAGAGATGTTTTTTTCTTTACTTTCATTTAGTGATTTTCCAGAAGAAACTTTTTTGAGACTGGCTCCAAAAGGGAGTCTATCCAAACAGACTACTGTGTTAAATTGTCTGTATCATTGTGGGGTCTTTACCTTATAATGTAAAGTGCCTTTAGACAGCTGTTGTTGTGTTTCATGTGTAAAAAGCACTAATTATACTATTACTGGTTTATTATAATCACTGTTTTTGTTTGTTTTGTTTAATTGCATTAATGGTTAAAGCACTGTTGAATGCAGATCTGTTCAGGTGTGACCTCGCACCACAGGCTTGTGCTTCTGGACAGAAAGTGCATCATTGCTGTTTCACAAAAATGTCTAATTTATTTGTATTATATGTCATCATTGGCACCATGTACACTGTTATAAAAGCTCACACTACTGTTTTAAGCTGTTACTTACAGCAATGCTAATGTCAAAACTAAAGTTTGCATAACATAAAGAATGTGGCTAAACCTGATATACAGACAGCAAACTGAAAAACAGACAGACAGACAGACAGACAGACAGACACACACACACACACACACACACACTGCAACAATACAACAGTAATATTTGCTGTCAGACAGGCTTGTCATCTCCCAAAGGAACTGGAGCTCTTAAGTGTTTATTAGGTGCCTCCCTGTGGCTGAGAAGTAAACTGAAGAACTACACCAGTCTGTTCTATTTGCACTGCGTAGATCCCCCCCCTCCCCGAATATATAAATAAAATGAGTATTAGTTGTCATTTCTCTCTTAAAATGTGGACACTAAATTGAAATCTCTTTTTCAAGAGAGACCTGACCAAGATGGAAGCACACCTAGAACAGCAATGAATAAATAAATAAATTCTTTATTTTGTGTAGTATTTTATTCTCCTAAATAACTTTCTGTATATTGTTTATGTGATCAAAATACACTGAAACAATCTTTACAAGTAAACATAACATTTTGATCATTAAGAAAAAAAACTAACTAATTAATTTAATTTAAGTGAAGATTTAAGAGCAATCACATGGGCCAAAAGTACTTTTTTATGGATGGATAATTCATAATAACCAGTTCTGATAATTTCAAGTTCTGGTACAACAAATTTTGATTGGATTTTATTTTGAAGCCATTAAAATGAGTAAATGATATTACAATTGTTCAAACACAGAATTACAACTATTTAAAATTTCCTTTTATTAGTTGTAAAATATGGAGATGTCATGAAAGGTTCAATAAGTCAGACAGGTTCAAGTATATATAAAGCTTCTTCAGTATGATTGATAAATTGACTAAAGGAAGAGGAAAAAATTCAATCTACATATAAAATTAGACCATTTAGACCATATAATTAGACATGTAGACGGTTGGTGTGACAGAGGAGGATGCTGGCGATAGGGTTAGATGGAGGCAGATGATCCGCTGTAATAACACATAAAGGGAACAGCTAAGAAGTCTGTACTGCAGTAAAGTCATTTCTAATTTTATACTAAACTTATACTATACAAATGCAGTGAATAATATTCTTGAATGTATTTATTTGTCCAATTATATTGCAAAAAATTAAGAAAGCTATGTTTATGCCTAAACTGATGTTGCCTTACATAAATAGATTGATTTCCAGTTTTTACCTCACATTCAAGTACAGCTTTATTATTTAACACTGGTATCAGTAGATATCTGAATCCAAGCCCATTATCTATTCATGATTTGAATCCTGGGTTGTGCGAAATCCTAGAAATACACCTTGGGCTACACGGGTATTTTTGAAAACGGAGATTTTCCGTTTTCGTTTAAAAGAAATAATCCCGTCCACACGTAAACGCAGAAATGAAGGAAAACGCTGCTAGGAACATGCCAAAGCAACAGGTGGCGATATATTCCTAACCGTGCAGAAATGTTGGCCAATCAGAAGTCTAGAAGCCTCGGTGGGAAATAGTAAACAAGGATGGGACATAGAAGCAGAACCGAGTCGTATGTGTGGAGGGACAGTAACTGTGTGTATATGTAAGCATTTAAACACTGCAGAGAGTAGAATTAACAGTAACAGTATTGTAGAAATTCATTTCACCGAAACAATAACGTGGCGCACAGTGTAACGTCAAAAAAGGCTCACACCTTTGACGCTCGCCCAGGGCGCCAAACAGGCTGGGACCGCCACTGCTCTGGAGTGACAAATCCTGTTTCTCCATTTTGCAATCCAATGGACAAGTCTGGGTTTGGCAGTTGTCAGAGAAGGGTACTCGTCTGACTGCTTTGTGCCAAGTGTAAAGTGTGGTAGAGCAGGGAGTTAGGATCACCCTCTTAGTTCTGGTCAAAATAAACTTATGCTTGGTATGCTTCAGCATGTCAACATGTCTTTACATTCAATTGTGGCAGCAGCTGTAGCAGTATTACAGTTAAACCGGCAGGTGGCGATGTTGTTCTCCCAGTTTAACCACACCTGTGTGTATCATTATCATAACCTGTTTCATCAAAACCAATCAAATATTCCACATTTAATTAGAAATATGTGTGAATTAGATTAAAAAAAAGAAAGAAAGAAAGAAAGAAAGAAAGAAAGAAAGAAAGAAAGAACAAACAACAACCTGAGGGCCAGCACACATTCAGCAACGTACTCAATGATGAAAGAAGATGAAATTCAACTAATGCAGGTCAGAGAACAATCGGCAGGTGCTGTATGTGCAGTCCAGAGTAAGCATTCAAAAACACGTGGGTGGAGCATCTGAACATCTGATCATACCTGATCATTTTCTGTTGCATTTTTCTGGGTTAGATTAAACCTGAATATTATTAGTTCATGTCCATGTTTGGCACGGTGGTTTCTTTCTATAAGTGATATGAAAATAAATTGTTTATCATTGTCACAACCCTTCCAGATCCAGTCATGTGTGAGTGGAGTCAAAGCTGACCTGGATTCAGTTTGTAGATGATGCAGTCGATCACAACCTGCAGAAAGCCAAAGCCCTCATTCAGCAGGACAGCTAGCGTATCTGTGCATTTAGGAGTGTTTCTGTTGTTGTTGTTTCCTATTTTTTTTTTCCTTTGGTGCCTATGTGAGGAATGATGGGTTTATGTGTCTATGTGGGTGGGGTACATATAAAAAAAATGTGTGCACGCAGAAAAACAATTAAGAGGGAGGAGTCCTTACATGGATTATGTGGCTTAGAGTAAAACATTGGACTATTCTGAAGTGGCATTTTATGAGCCCTAATTTAAATCCTGTTAAACATCTATGGAAGGAGCTGAAACATGAAGTCTGGAGGAGGCACCCTTCAAAACTGAGACCTCTTGTGAGAAATGGTCCAAAATACACCATATTGTCAAATCTATTTAATCATATATTCAAATCATTGAATTCAAGTCTTCCAATCACTTCCATGGCCACAGATATAAAAATTAACATGCCACCAATGGACTCAGTGTTCTCTGGAGTGACAAATCCTGTTTCTCTATTTTGCAATCCAATGGATGAGTCTGGGTTTGGCAGTTGTCAGGAGATGGGTACTTGTCTGACTGCTTTGTGCCAAGTGTAAAGTGTGGTAGAGCAGGGAGTTAGGATCGCCCTCTTAGTTCCGGTCAAAATGAACTTATAATTCTTCAGCATACCAAGACATTTTGGACGATATCGTGCAACAATTTCATTTCATATCAAATTCCTTGTGGTTATGAAATGACCTGCCACAGTTTGGATGGTCCCTTCCTTTTCCAGCACGGCTGGACACCAGTGCACACAGTAAGGTCCTTAAAGACATGGATGAGCAAGTTTGGCTTGTATTAGTCCTGACATCAACCCAATACTACAGTTTTGGATTAGAGTAGAACTTGTGAGGCAGGCATTCTGGTCCAACATCAGTGTCTGACCTCACAAATGTGCTTCTGGAAGAATGGTCAAAAATTCCCAGCACAACACAAAGTTGCCATATTTTATCAAAGTTATATTATTTACATTCCAGGTCTCCAAAAACCCAGTTTCAAAACACATGAAAAGCTGAAAGGTATGTTTTGTTGAGTTAATTAATTATTGTTAAAAGTAACATTCATCAGTGATATAGTGGTGATTAAAATGTGTTCAGAATTCGCAAATTCATCTCATAAGTCGTTGCACACTAATCACAATTAGCTGCCTGAATAACTCTCGTGTGGCTCTCCTGTTTGGCTTCTCTTGTCCTTGTCTAGTCTTGTCTAACTCTCAGAAACTCTCTCCGTCTTGTTCTCTAAATCACGAAATTATGGATTTGATCAATTGGTCTCTTAACGCAATTGACATTTGTTGCTGGATACACGATGGACAACTGGGAGAAGTAGCAGGTTATGTGTCTGGCAACACTCTCAATGGAGGACGTTGAAGACATCTAGCTATTGGGAACCATGATTATCATGATGTTGATTGGAGCTGGCACGGCCCTGGCTTAACTGAGGTGTGATTATGGACATGACTGCAATTTGTGGATTACAGTTTGTGATTTTTAAAACCTGTGTGCTTACTTAAAAATGTACAGACTACTTGTAACATCATTTAAACAGAGTAAACGCCTGCAAACATCACACAGTGAGCATGAAGTTGGATTAGCAACACTGCCTCATCAATCCATGAGGCAGCGATGATTTTGAACCAGTGTTACCAGATCTTTGAAGCTGATTCAATTCCAAGACATAGTTAGGTTACATATCAACTTGTACTTCCTTGTTCTGAACTGAGAAGAACTGGCCTTTCCTTCCCCTCATCAAGAATTCATTTGCTAAGAAAAAGTCTCTCAGTCTTTCAACATATTCAGTCCAGTTGATGTCTCCCTCAGCGAAATATGTGAGCGAGTTCGATCGTATCCACAGTGCTAACTAACTGTAAACTGCTACTTCAAGCCCAAGCTCACAACAAACTGCTTTTTTTCTTTTGTTTTTTATTCTCGTCGTCAAAAAGGTGTTATCTCAGGATAATGATAAATGGAAAGTTATGCACCTTTGTAGAACTTTTAATGATTTTTTTTCTTGTTGCTTCTACAGGAAGCCACATCACTTACAGCTGCGTGCTCTGCCAAGCCCAAAGGTTCCAGGATGCAGCACCCACAAACACAGTCACTCTCTTTATATTGGTAAATAGTCTTCCCAAAGCTTCCTGGTTCCTACTCTGGTGAAGTTAATCACTTTTAAACTTGATCAAACTCCACCTTTTGCAAAGATTGTCATCTAAATCCATCTATTGTTTTGAGTAATCCTGCTAACAAAAAAACCAAACCCATTGTATGAACTCACTACCAAAAGTATAATTATGGACCAGACTGCATTTTATGGATTACAGTTTGTGATTTTTAAAACCTGTGTGCTTACATACTGATTGTAACGTCGAAAAACGCCTGGATCTCCTCCGTGTCTGCTTCATACTCTGGGGGGCAGGGCTACGGCTCCCCACTCCCTCCAGCCGATCGTTACATAGAGAAACCTTCTGAATACAAGCGCGCTCACACACATTGTGTGCTGTCGGTCTTACGTGCTGCACAATAAAATTCAATATTTAGTATTTACTGTTACTTACACTTATCTAGGTTATTGCTGTGGTGTTGTGTATATTGTGCTACTTTCTTTTTGCTTTTCATTTAAATCCAGCTGATTTTTTTTAGTGTCTTCTCTCCCTTTCTTTCTTTCTCCCTTTCCTATCCCTCTGTCATGTCTGTCCTGTCTGCAATAGCTTAAAATAAAGTAAATCAATAAATAAATAATGATAACAAAGGTAAATCAAATGGACTAACACGGCAAGCTCTTTGCTGTAATTCAAATTAAATTTTAAATAAGAGGCCCAAAGAGATGTTAGTGCAAGTGATGGAGGTGATCAGACTGAAAAACACAAATAAATCTAACAAAGAGACAGCAGAAACTTTAGAATTGCCCAAATCAGTTGTTAAAACAAGTTAATGGTATTTACTACCTCAGCAACACCAAAAGGCTTGAAAGACCATGTAAGACAACTAGAGTGCATGCTGAATTATTTCCATGGTTAAGAAAAACATCTAACCAAGTCAAGAACACCCTTGAGGAAGCCTGTGTATCATAGTGAAAGCCTAAAAGTAAGAGAGACAATATATAGATAGTTGAATATATAGATAGTTATCCATATAGATAGATGTAGATTATTATTTTTTAATCCCAAATTTAGAGTCCTGCACAATATATTTTTAATTCCTAATCCTGCCCTCTTCTGGAAAGAGATCTCAGATGTCATTCCTGGAAACTGCTGGACCACTGTTGCCTTCACCCTCCATATTTTCTCAAGCACCTCTCTCAGCTTTTCATGTTCCTTTTTCCTGATGTTGCTATTACTTGGTATAGCTACATCTGTCCCTATGGCCATCTTCCTGTGCCTGTCCACAACTACTATTTCTCATTGGTTAGCCATTACCAGTTTGTTCATCTGAATCTGGAAGACCCACAAGATCTTAGCTTGGACATTCTCAACCCACCCTAGTATGCCATTTTGACCTTGGGACTTCCAGTCTATACTTGGCACAGATGTTCCATTGTACTGTGCCGGCTACTTGGTTATGGCATTCCATGAATGCCATACTTGATAGCATCTTCCACCCTTCTTCTATCTGGTATATGCAATCTATCCATCCATAATGGTTCTTCTTCTCGCTCATCTTCTTTCTTGGGTTTCTGCTGCCTGATGTATTCACTAAGCACGTGATCAGTTCTTTCTGACGTACTTATGGATGTTTGTTGTCTCATTCTTGATAGGGATTCTGGCACTCACTATTCCCGGCCTCCTTCCTTCTGCTTAACATACAGTCACAAGATGCTTGACTTGGGATGAAACCCTCCATACATAATTAGTGCAATGTATTATACTAAATTACCTGTGAATTATCAGCAAGTATTTATTTTAAACTGATGCATATTGTACTTAGAGTAAATAAAGCAGCATGTAAAGTTCTAATCCAGGTTTGTGCTCATTGTGTGATGCTTGGATGCGTTGCAGGTTAAATCACATTAGCAGTCACAAACTGGAATCCACAAATTACCGTCAGATCCATAATGACACCTCTGACAGTGAGGTCATGCAATGGGTTCAGTTTTGATTGCTAAATGGAATTTGATTTATTTATTTTTTGCCAGGGGTGCGGTTTGATCTTGCTTAAAAGTTATTAATTTCTGGAGTCGATCCAGGTTTTGGTAAGATTCTTTACCCTGTGTGCGTGTGTGTGTGTGTGTGTGTGTGTGTGTGTGTGTGTGTGTGTGCGTGTGTGTGCATGCGTGCGCACGCGCAAGCAGCTTTTGAACAACCAGGAAATGGCTAGTCTAGCTGGTTAATCTAGTTTGTGAAATGGGGATGGGTGTAGGAGTTGGTTTAAAATCCACCATGGTTCAGCGTATCCTGTCAGTGTGCTGGTCAGCGCCTTCCAGAGAGCTTCTCGCTGTACTTAAACTGCTGCAGAAAGTCTAGAAAGATGTCATCGGAGACCAGACGGTCAAGTAAGTACAGCAACTTTTGAATGTACATTAACTGAATTTTACCATCATTTACAATATATCGTACCTTATATATATTGTATGCATGAAGAATGTATTGTTATTTACATTTTCTTTTTAACACAAGATGTATTATTTACATAATAAAATGTATTTACATAATATTATATCACATGGTTTGTTAGAAGCAAAAGCAAAATAAAAAAGAGATTTTTAGAAAAGGTTGCATCTGTGTCAGTTTTTATCTGGTAAATTAAATACAATATCATAAAATGCTTATAGATGATATGACTTCAGTCACCTTTGCAGTTTCTTTAAAAAAGCTTCTGGGGAATAAAAATGCATTGGATTAAAGCAAGTGAAGATTTTTTTGTGATATGCTCAACTTTATCACAATAAAAAACAAAACCCAGACAAAGCTAACGGCGTGCCTGTGGTCATTATCTCACAACCGTGAAAATCCAAAATATGTTCTGTAAAACAAAATTAGGTCCAGGTTCAAGTCAGTTTAAATACCAGTATGCCAGATTGATTTTTATACAGCATGCCTCATTCACACACATTACACAAGCACTTTTTTATGCCTCAGTACTTTCTGTCTAATATTTATACTCTGACGGAGACATCAGAGAACAACTAGGGGTTTAATCTTGTCCAATGTTCTTTGGCAGGCAGACTGAAGCAGCCAGGGATTGAATCACTAACTCTCCGATTAGATGACCTGCTTTACCTTCTGAGCTCCATTAAATTATTGTGCTTACATTTATCCATTTCTTGAGCAGACATCTATAAATAACCTTAGAATGAAACATCTGGCTTTTCTTATCTCAAGACCAAACTTACTTCTTAAATGCTGAAATGTGTTGCTGTTTCTGTTCAGTCATCCTAATTGTCCAATTCTTGCATCAACATCATAACTAAAAAGTAGGACATGTTGGAGGAAAGGGGTTTTCAGATTTGAACTCAGCAAGTAAACTTTGTCAAAGTAAAGGTGCAATTCTTGACAGTTTGAAAAGATGGAGTAAACATATCACCACTGTGGGCTTTAGTCCTTAAGTGTGGAATAGTTAATTTGACATTTAAGGCAAACATATGGAGAGAAAAGGGAAAGGAAAACACACACAGACACACACAAAAGACATTAACAGGATGAAGGTTCCAGTATCCTGGAAAACTAGCCACAATTCTTTTGATTTTGTCTGTTTCAGTTATATTTTTATTTTTTCCAGTTTTTAAAGGAGTCGGTCTCAACTATGAGATCAACAACACTGAACACCACACCAAAAAACTCTCAAAGGATCAGCTGATTGTGAGGAGAGGTCAGCCGTTCACTGTGAAAGTTGAACTGACGCAACCTTTCAACCCTGACCTTTACCCGCTCACCATCACTGCAGAAACAGGTTGGTCTGTAGTTATACAATGAAGATATTTTTTAAATTGCATATAACTTTCTTTTAATTGATTTTGTTTATTGAAGTAATAAAAGAACTGTTTGAAAATTGATTTCCATGTATCAACAGTGTTTTATGAGGGTTTTTTTTCTTGTTTCTGTTTTCTCTATTTTCTTCTTTTTCTCTGTTTTATCAGCAATATTAATGTTTCGGAATTCTTAATATGGATGTCTATCAAGACCTTTGTGAAACCCATTAAAAATGAAAGATACATGCGTGTTAGTGTAGTTTAAAAAGAGCTCTTAAACACAGGAGCCAGATATTTCAAACAGAGAGCAGGTTTTATATTTATTAATAGAAAGAGAGATTAAGAGAAATTATGTCAGGTGACAGCAATGAGGGTGGAGCAGACAATTGAAAGGGTGAGGAGAAAGCTAGACATAACACAAAGGGGAAAGGCTCTGTTGTAAATAAACTAAGCTTTACTTCTTAAAGGCTTTCACCTACTAGCACAGTTGGATGTGACCAGAGTTTTTCTTTTGCTTTCAGTCATTGGTTGCAATGTCTTTGTTGGCATGAAATTAAAAAGGGAGGCAGTGACTGGCATGATTGAAATGTGCATGGAAGTACAGTACATAATGCAAATTCTAACAAGTTTGAAAGTTAATATTTACCCCAGCTGTCATAGAGTGAGAGGTGCAAGTCTATAATGAGACACATTTACTTGTTCTGTGTTGTACATGTATATGTGGTCAATATCTTAGTAAACATGGCTAAACTTTCAAATGGTAACCTATAATGCTCATTTATAGCTCCATAGATTTATTCTTGGACTGTGCTCAACTTTGAACCCATTTCCCCTTTTAATGCATAATTTAAAAAAAAGAGTAATGATGCATCTTTAAGGTACTGATTTATGTTTATTAAATTCTTTTTTTGGACATGGAAGGTCCTGTCAGGGACCATAGACGGTAAGTTAAAGATGGATCCAGTTGGTGTGACAGTTTCCACCAGTTTATAGACAGTGGTGTTTTAAAGCCTTGACCTGACTGACATGTCAAGGAAAAGGACTGAGAAACACGACACACACCTGCACTAGTGACTTGTCACTCATAGAGCATTGTTTCTGATGATAATGAAGAACAACGTTGTAACAGGAACATGATGTTGCATTCAGTAAAATTTGAAAATAGGGACTGCAACCATAAACCATTAAAGTGCTTACTTACTGCTGTTTTCTCATAGTCTTCTTTGCAACTGCACTTTTTTAAACAGTCACCACCTGCTGGTCATTAGAATTAATGCGGGTTTAAGAAGGATAGTTTTCATAATGTCCATCTTTGGTGGTTAAAACGGTTTGATTGTATTGTATTGTTTATCTCTAGTTACCTATTACCTCTGTGAATCCTCTCAACAGGAAAACATCCATCCGAGAACCTGGGGACAAAGTCACGCTTTGGTATTCCAGACAAAATCAGCCGTTCGCCGTCAGCGAAGGCGGTATGGAAGGTGGAGCTTGAGAAGAGATCTTACCCACTAACGGGTTCCTTGAATTTGACCATTACCCCTCCAGCTGACGCTCCAATCGGAAAGTACAACTTAACTGCCAGATATAGGAACGAGGAAACCTTGTTGGCAACTCTGGTAGTGCTCTTCAATCCCTGGTGCCCTGGTAGGTTTGTTATCTTTCTGTCTGCTGCCAGTTTGCCTAACTGTCCATCAACACTGTTCATCTGTTGCTGTTGTTTTCCTTAAAAACACTATCCATTGATCTTTATGTCTTAAGTATTTATCCCTGTCCTTTTTACTGTAGATGATTCAGTGTCTCTCTCTGATGAGGCACAGAGACAGGAGTATGTGTTGAATGAACATGGTATAATCTATAGTGGAAGTGAGAACTACATCAGATCTGTTCCCTGGGACTTTGGGCAGGTATACACCACACACACACACACACACACACATACATATGTCGGGTGTTGTCTCATTGACATAATGCTTTCCCTAGCCGCTTACCCTAATCCTAACCATCAAAAATGAATGCCTAACCCTAACCCTTCCCCTAAACCTAACCATAACCCAATTGTAACCCTGACACTAAAACCACATTTTGAGTCTGAAAAATGCCTTCAAACTCATGGGGACTTGGGTTTTGGTTGGGCCCCACAAGTATGGTACATTTTAGATTTTGGTCTACACCAAGATAGGAAAAACCAGTACACACATACAAACACACTTTGTGTAGGTTTATTAGATTTTTGACACTGAGTTTAATAAATAGACACCAAATAGCACCATATTAAAAAGGCACAATCTTATCTTTCAAAATGGTAGCTACTGAATAATGCTAAAATTTTATTGCTACTGCATATTTTATTTTAAGGGTTTAAACACCATTGTCTTCACACCACTATAATATTTTATCTTCTATAAAGCAAAATAAAACTGGTTAATTTAAAGGGGTGTATACAGTATCTAGAATAATTTAAGATTCTTGATAAATGTTTAACACAAGAGAAAGAAGATGTAACCACCATCAACCTTTGCATAAGCAAAAATATATTTATGTTTGCTAATTGCTTGCAGGTAAATTTTAAGAATGTACTCACACAGAATGACTCAGTGAGTCACATAGATACAATCTGACACTACTGTAGATACTTTTTGACGATAAGTATGAATAGACTTGCTCTGCTATGAAGTATGAATGACTTACACCACTGTAGTTTAAGATAAGCTGCTCTCTTCCTGCCCAGTTTGAAGAAGACATGGTGAAGATTTGTCTGAAGATCTTGGATGTCAACCCCAAACACCTGGCAAATGCAGCCAATGATGTTTCTGCTCGCTGTAACCCCATCTACGTCAGTCGTGTGGTCAGCGCCATGGTAGGATATTTATGAATATACATCTGTTCTGTACAGATGTATTTTATTTGCAAAGAACATTTCTGCAAAAGGGTGATTTAAAGGATTATACTTTAAATATAAAAGGAATCAAGGTAACATGTAGGAAGGAATGGTTTATGGCATTTTGTTAATCAATGTTTTATAACCATTTTGAGGGAAACCATAGCTCACTTGTATAAATCACAATATAAGAAGGAGAACTTTGTTTTCCTTTTTTGCTTCCAGATCAACAGTAATGATGACTATGGCGTCGTGGAGGGACGGTGGTCAGGTCCATACTCGGGTGGGAATGAACCCACTCACTGGTCTGGCAGCTATCCCATCCTCAAGCACTGGTATGACATCAACTGCCAATCAGTCAAATATGGACAGTGCTGGGTATTTGCTGGCGTGATGTGTTCAGGTACTTACTAACTCTGCAAGTCCTTACTCACAGTACAACCGCCAATTTTCTAGACCAAAGTACTAATGTAGGATAATACTAGATGTTCTCTGGAAGTTCATAATATTACTGATATGCAGGGGTCTCATCTGTCTTTTCCTTACTTACAACTTTCTATCACTGGGCCAGCTAGTGGCATAGCATTAAGAATAATGATATTTAACAATAAAATCTAATGTACAATTTGACAAATGCTTCATTCACTTCTTTTCTTTTTTTGGCTGTTTTCTTTGTTTTTTGGGATCCAGTAATGCGTCTGTTGGGCATCCCATGCCGTGTGATCACCAACTTCCAGTCAGCTCATGACAGTAACAAGAATCTCACCATTGATGTGTACCATGCTGACTATGGAGTGAGAGAGAAAAAGACCAAGGACAGTGTCTGGTAAGACATCTATCTATCTATCTATCTATCTATCTATCTATCTATCTATCTATCTATCTATCTATCTATCTATCTATCTATCTATCTATCTATCTATCTCTATATATTAGGGGTGCAACATACACAAAATTCACGGTTCGGTTCGATACTTTGGTGTCACGGTTTGATATTTTTTCGATACAAAAAAATGTTCATGCCTTTTTAATTTGTCATTTATTAAAATTATAAATATATATTTTAACTCAAAAGTACAGTTTTTAAATTTAATGTTGCTGAAACAACAAAGTAATAAAATAATAAATCTATCTGATCGAGAAATTACTGGAGAGTTTATTACAGAGAAATGACTCTTTCCAAAATAAAAGCTATACTATACGCTTCTTCTGGGGTATATTCTCAGCAGCATATGAAACATATCAGGTCCCCATAAGGAGAATCACGTGCTAAAGGCTGTCTAAATGACTCAGGTAAAGTTTATAGCATGCGTGCTTGTTGTTTTTGTCTGCTTCCACTTGTCTTTGCACTAGGATGATGTCGGTGTAAATGTGCAGTCATATTTGTTGTGTTCCCACTAGTGCTGTCAGCGTTAATCTGAAATGATGTTAACGCCACAACACAGCAAATCTCCGTTAACGAGCTACCACGGATCGCCCCGTGCTTCAGCTGGACGGCGTCAACATGTTAACGAGCTAACTGCGCTAACGCAGTAGTTCCCACCAATGTAATTGAGCATTGCGTGGCACATCCGACATACTGTTTTACTTTTGTCCATGACGCGCTTACCTTCAGGGTCATACTTCACATGAAGACCAAAATAGTTCCAAAGGCCAGATCTGAATGAGGATGGGGGAGGTTCAATTTGCCATGTTGCAAGGAGAGCTTAGCTTCTGTCTTGCTAGCTTACCTGCGCCTCAGTGGATCTGCGCTCGACAGTGCAGCCTAGACAGAGTAGTCAAACGCAGATCCACTGAGCTCTCAACACAGACAGCATCGTCAGAAGAAAAGTTGATAAAATTAATTTAAAATTTAGTATTGTTCGATACATATCGTTAGCTTCATAGCATAAGTGCCTAAGTCATTGACTTAGTCAAATGACTTAGGCAATTATGCTATGAAGCTAACGATATGCGTACTGAACCGAAAGCACTGTATTGAACGGTTCAATATCGATATGAGTATCGTTGCACCCCTAATATATATATAGATATATAGATATATTTTTTATTTTTTTTCCCCACTCACCCTGCATGTGAGATTTGTTTGTCCTTTAACCTCGGGTCCTCAGCCAGAGGCCTGGCAGTTTGAGGGACCTATGAAGTCTGTGAGTCTTGGCTGGGGAGGGTCTGGCTTTTCATTTAATTTGTACTTTGCACTGCTGATTTACTTGTGGTTCCTGGAATATTTAAAAGTAGAATGGGAGTCCTCAGCTTTCAGGCCCCTGTTCTGTGAAACCAGTTCCTAGTTTGGAACTGGGAGACAGACACCATCTCTATTTTTAAGATTAGACTTAAACCATTTCTTTTTTATTAAGCATGTAGTTAGGGAAGGACCAGGTGGCCCTGAATCCTCTCTTAGTTACGCTGCAGTAGGTCTAGGCTATTGCAGGGGCCTCCCATGATATCTGGAGGATGGCGGGAGGAAGATCGATAGTAACATAAAACTGACTTTTGATTTTTTCCGTTATGGTGGACTAGGCCAAGAGTTAGGCTTTCAAAATGAATTAAAACTCCATCTAAGTCTATGATTAATTTGATTAATAGATTGAAGTAGAAAAGTAGAAGATTGTTGTCACTCTACCTCCTCATCCTGTGTTTCAAGTTTCTGACAGTGGGATGGAGGGGGTGTGGACTCATTTAAGCTAACATGATATAACCTGTTGTAACCAGGTTTCAGTAAGGCAGAACAAATTAATATGTTGTCAGTTATTAAATCATTTAATAAAAAGGACTTATAAGAGAGAGCCCTAATATTTTATAATTCACATTTAACTGTTTTACTCTTTGGTGCAGCTGAAGATGGTATATTATTCTTTCTTTGTAATTGTCCATGTTTAAATTAATTTGTCAAAATCATCAACAACCCCCCAGTTTTTGATCAACCACTTTAATTTCCTTATGCTGTCACTTAGTCCAGCTCTGTTGACTGTTCTGGACTTTCTAAATCCAGTGTTGAGTTTCCACTCACTCCAACATCAGAATGTTGTGTTCTGTATCTGTTTAAGGAACTTCCACGTCTGGTTAGAGTGCTGGATGACCCGAACTGACCTGGCAAAGGATGGAAAATATGACGGGTGGCAAGTTGTGGATCCAACACCACAGGAAAAGAGTGACGGTATGAAATTTCTTGTCTAAACTGTTTCTTCCTTTGTTTTATTACTTTAATTTATTGATAGTAAATATAAGATAAATTTCTAAGTATTGCGTTTGAACACTTTGTCTGAATGAGCTGCTCTACATATGCAGGTGTATACTGCTGCGGTCCAGCCCCAGTCAAAGCCATCTTGGATGGAGAAACTGATCTCAAATATGATGTCCCATTTGTCTTTGCTGAGGTCAATGCGGACTGCATTGACTGGCTGGTTAGTATACATAGCTCGACTCTATGAATACATGAATATCCCATTTAGAAGGAAGTCTTTGGCAGAAATGTTTTATGTCTAGTTTTGTGTTCTAAATAGTTTTTTTGTGTTCAGTGTAAAGCTGATGGCACAATGACGAAAATGCTCTCTGACACCAAGTCAGTCGGACAGAATATCTCCACCAAGACTGTTGGCTCCAACACGAGGCTGGACATCACAGACAAGTACAAGTACAAGGAAGGTGAGTTCAGCTGACAAACTCAAAGATTTGAGCTGACCATTTCGTCCATTGCCATCCTGATATTATGAAACTATACACACGTGGACAAAATTGTTGGTACCCTTCAGTCAATGAAAGAAAAACTCACAATGGTCACAGAAAGAACTTTAATCTGACAAAAGAAGTAATAAATAAAAATTCTATATATCTTAACCAATGAAAGTCAGACATTGCTTTTCAAGTATGCTTCAACTGACTTATTTAAAAAAAAAAATGCATGAAACAGGCCTGGACACAAAAATGATAGTACCCACAGCTTAATATTTTGTTGCACAACCTTTTGAGGCAATCACTGCAATCAAACGATTCCTGTAACTGTCAATGAGACTTCTGCACCTCTCAGCAGGTATTTTGGCCCACTCCTCATGAGCAAACTGCTCCAGTTGTTTCCAGTTTGAACGACGCCTTTTCCAGACTGCATGTTTCAGCTCCTTTCAAAGGTGCTCAATAGGATTGAGGTCAGGGCTCATAGAAGGCCACTTTAAAATAGTCCAATGCTTTCCCCTTAGCCATTTTTGTGTGTTTTTGGTCATTGTCCTGTTGTAAGACCCATGACCTGTGAGCTTTCTGACACTGGCCAGCACATTTCTCTCTAGAATCGAGTAGTCTTGAGATTTCATTGTACCCTGCACAGATTCGAGACACCCTGTGCCAGATGCAGCAAAGCAGTCCCAGAACATAACCGAGCCTCCCCCATGTTTCAAAGTTGGGACAGTGTTCTTTTCTTGATATGCTTCATTTTTCCGTCTGTGAACATAGAGCTGATGTGCCTTGGCAAAAAGTTAAATTTTTGTCTCATCTGTCCACAGGACATTCTCCCAGAAACTTGACATATTCCAGTCTGGCTTTTTTATGATTTGTTTTCAACCATGGTGTCCTCCTTGGTCATCTCCCATGTAGCCTACTTCGGCTCAAACAACAACAGATGGTGCGATCTGACACTGATGTTCTTTGAGAATGAATCTTAGCTTGGATCTTTTTAGAAGTCTTTCTGGGCTTTTGTTACCATGCGAATTATCCATCTCTTTGATTTGTCATCAATTTTCCTCCTGTGGCCACATCCAGGGAGGTTGGCTACAGTCCCATGGATCTTAAATTGCTGAATGGCATGTACAACTGTAGTCACAGGAATATCTAGCTGCTTGGAGATGGTCTTGTAGCCTTTACCTTTAACATTATTTTCTTTCTAATCTCCTGAGACAACTCTTTCCTTTGCTTCCTCTGGTCCATGTTGAGTGTGGTACACACCATATCACCAAACAACACAGTGACTACCTGGAGTCCTATATATAGGCCCACTGACTGATTACAAGATTGTGGACACCTGTGATGCTGATTAGTGAACACACTTTGGATTAACATACATGTCCCTTTGGTCACATTATTTTCATTCTTTTCTAGGGGTACCATCATTTTTGTCCAGGCCTGTTTCATGCATTTATTTTTTAAATAATTCAGTTGAAGCATGGTTGAAAAGCAATGTCTGACTTTCATTGGTTAAGATTTATGGAATTTTTTATTTATTATTACTTTTGACAGATTAAAGTTATTTCTGTGAATTATTTCATAATTTATGTCACATTTTGTATTATTGGGAATTTCAAAATTCAACTATATAAACCTAATGGAGTAATAGGAATTTGCAAAATATATTGCAGATGAAGATGTAATAAACTTCATCAGTAATGAGAAGGTTCATTTCATTATGGTCTGAACATTTGATATTATTTGATAAAAATTAATTTGTGAATCTTGAACTCAACAACATTTTCAATCCCCACAGGCACTGAGAAGGAGAGAACCGTATTTAAATATGCCCTCTCCAGAAATAAGGAGACAATGGGCAATGAAGGGGCCACAAACAGTACCAATGGAACATCTCCTGGGGGCATCGTTCCACAGCCAAAAATAAACATCCAATTTAAAGAGGTACATCACAGAGTTCCTGTTGTATCTCTTTATTTTTCTATTTAAGTGAATCTTAAATATATTTTAGTACTTACTTGGTGTCTGGATTTTCTAAAAAAATTTATTATTACAAATGTAACAAAAAGTTACCTCTGTTGCCTTTTTAAATTAATTTTAATAATTTAACCAAAACAGTTAATGAATAAAAGCTCATCCAATCCACCAGACCCCATAAAACCATAAAAAGGACTGAAAAAAGCACTGTCAATGTGAAATGTGTTATCTCTTATATGCAGTTCTATACTCAAGTGTCTACAGTATGACCATTTTAGCACACTTGTCCTGCTCTAGCTGAGCAGCCAGTTAGATGAATAACTGGTGGATTGGCTGTTTGCAGGATCATCATCTGACAAGTTTTCTTTTGAAATGTCATCAGGAGGCCCACAAATAGCATTAATGTTAACAACTGTGGTGGTGATTGGGCCAAATGTTTTTGTTGGAACTAAGGATTGCATTCGTCTTTACTGTATGTGCTTTAATGAGAATGAAAACGTTACATTTTAACTATATCTTGTGCATGAAGCACACTGAATACTGTCTAATTACAAATCACTCATAGTTTATAGCCACTGGCTGAAATTAGCAAAGGCTAGCAAAGGCTGTGCTTAATGGTCTCTACTGTAAATCAATTTTAACAAAAAACCACCCAAAAACCACAACTTATTCAAAAGAGATGACCATTACCGTTGTTACCTAAAAGCAAAGTGCTTATCTAAATTAAGAAAACTCAAATCTCACAAGCTGTTGTTTTAAGCATATCTTTTTAATCATATTTTAAGGAATTGTGCATAATAAACCTGGTGCACAGGGAATTGTACCTTATTCCTCTATTTGTGATGCTGCAGGTATCCAAGCCAAAGGACGGTCAGGACGTGAGTCTGAAGCTGGTGCTGAACAGTGAGAGCAGCACTGCCAGGCCTGTGTCCATCAATATCAGCGTCCAGGCCATGAGATACAATGGCTCACCGGTTGAAAACATCCAGAGTGAGGTGAAGGAAGGGACACTGCTGCCTGGGAAAGGTGAGTCAATTGAATAGGACTGAAGTGTTTTTTGTGGGGTGGGGTTTATTCTTAGATTAGAGATACCTCAAAGACAGATTGAGAGATCAGGTCATATGAGAGACTGCAACAACTATAATTCTCTCCCTCTGTCTGCTCCAGATCTGTCCATCCCTATCTTGGTCCCCTTCTTGGTGTACCATGAGCACATGGTGGACTCTGACAGCATGAAGATTTCAGCTATGGTCACAGATAAGCTGGAGCCGAAAAATGTCTACCTAGCAGTGAATGATGTCATTCTGTTGGATCCTCCAATCTCCATCACAGTGAGTAAAAAACTACCATCTCTCTCACTCTGTAATCATTCTGTAGCTTTGTTCGAAGAACAACTGACACATTAGCTCACAGCTGTTGTTATCTCCTGCTGTACTTGTTTTAATGATAAATATAATTATGTGAAATGAAATAAAGACTTGCTAAATTAGCACAAAACAAAAAGCACCATCGCTGCCAGTTGACACGTCTTGTATTTAAAAGTAATTGGTCATGGAGCTGGTACAGTTAAACTGAAACTGATTGCTACATGAGGAGTTAGGTCACATTATTACAGTTGGCAGTCTTTAATGTATACCAAATTTCATATTTGTCCTTCGGGATGGAACACGTGAGTGTGCCCAAACCTTTATCTGATATCATGCGCGATGGTCAGAGAGTGAGTGTTTTTCTATGTGCATGACTGTGTATAAAACATGCACCTCCTGTATCTGTGGTGTTGTATGATGTGGGCTGTCATATTTATAGCAGAAGTTGCATAAACTGAAAGTGATATACGTGTTGTGGTTTCTAATTTTTGGTTGGGAAAAATATTGCATATGCAAAAGTTTTTGAACTGTAAAATCTTTGTCTTTTAGACTCCCAGTCTGGCAAGCGTGAACCAAAGCACAACTGCTGAAGTGGTTTTCATGAACCCAGTCAACAAGACACTGACAGATTGCACTCTGACTATTTCTGGAAGTGGTCTCGTGGACGGAGAGCAAAATTGCATGTAAGCGTGTGTGCATAATTAAAATTATCTGGATTCTAAATGCTTGTGTACAGTTTTACACAACAAGTGTTGTGTGCACCAGTTTTTCCTCCATGTAGCAATGGCATTATTTCCGTCTTCACACCACCTGAAATGACACAGGCTCACTAGAAGCTGATCACACCTGGGTGTGGGTCCCTAACGTCTCGGGGCTCAGCTGGGGTCTTTCCCCTTTATCTAGCCACTGACTACAGTGCTCAGCAGTCCCTGAGATTTCTGTAATGGTGTGTAAAACAGTGGAGTAAAACAGTGGATGGGCCATTGAAATCAGGACAGCAAAATTCCAGTGGAGAAACTTCTGCTCACCTCCTTGGCCCATCTTGCAGCTTCCTCCTGTCGTCACAGTTCTAGGAACACAAGCTTTTACCAATCCGGTCTCACAAATTAAACATTAACCTTAACTGTTCTGTTTTACTCTTATGTTTCCCTCAGACTTCCAGACCTGAAACCAAGCCACAGGTTTCGTGTTACGTTTTTCTTACTTCCCAAGAAGACTGGCAAGAAGACCCTCCTGGCTGACTTTGACTGCTCCTCCTTCAGAGACCTCAAGTGCACCTGTACTGTCAATGTCCAACCATAATTCCTCAGAATCACAGGGTAGAAGCTGTGTAATTTTAGTCAGTAAATAAAATTAAAAAAATTAAAAAAAAAAAAGCTTGATGTAGACATTTTATTTTTACACAATTTGGTAAAGGGTCAGTAAGTGATTGCATAATTTTGCCAAATAAACTGTCAAAACCTTGTGGATGTTTGGGTCATTTTTTGTGTACTTTAGAAGTGTCAAGAAAAAAAAAAAAAAAAAAAAAAAGAAGTGTCACAGTCTGGTGGAGGTAGACTGTAGGAATTTGTAAAGAGGACCCAAAATGCAGACACAAAAGGAACGTGGAACCAAAACTTGGGTATTAACAAAAAGCGAGCCGTTTAATGAGGCTGGTAAGAAATGTACAAACAAAGAGCAAGGCTAACTGAAGCAAAACTAACATTAACCTAAACTGGGAGAACTAAACAAACAAGAACAACCTGGACATGAAACATGACGTGAACAACAGACGACCTGACAAAGGACGAACAGAAACACACAGACTAAATACACACAAGGGTGATTAGGGGAAGTGGAAACACATGGGGAAACAGCTGACACTAACGAGAAAAAGGAAGCAAAGCTGACTACACTGACGTAGGACATGGACCTTCAAAATAAAAGAGGCAACGTGAGACGCAGACATGACAATACAAACTTGACAGGGGTAGAAGACACAAGAGGAATCTAATAAACAAATGAACTTAGATAACCTAATGAACTTAAACATAAACCATAAACATCAAAAATAAACTAAAACTCAAAACGCTGGGTCAAACGACCCAGATTCGTAACAAGAAGTCGATCACACCAACACAACTCATTCTTTCTTTGCTGTTTGTTTGTAATCATTCATGCTCAGTATCATTCAGTTTACAGTCTCCTTGTGCTAATAATGTTTCTTATTATTATAAAGGACGACCGTGGCTCAGGGGGTTGGGAAGCGTATCTGTAAGTGGAAGGTCACCGGTTCAATCCCCGGGCTCTCTGTCCTGGTCGTTGTGTCCTTGGGCAAGACACTTTACCCTACTGGCGTTGGCCAGAGGAGCCGATGGCGCAATATAGCAGCCTCACTTCTGTCAGTCTGCCCCAGGACAGCTGTGGCTACAACCGTAGCTTGCCTCCACCAATGTGAGAGTGAATGAATAATGGCATTGTAAAGTGCTTTGGGTGCCTTAAAAAGCGCTATATAAATCCAATCCATTATTATTATTTGTTGTTTGGGACACAAGAGAACAGGTGTGTCATAAAAAGAATTATGATACAGAATAACGTGTCTGTTTGCGTCACTCTACATTTACTTTTGTTCAGTCATAAGTAAAGAACATTTTATTTATTATCATTTGGTTATTGTTACCACCATTACTTTACTTAAATTGTTTGCATAGTTACACCATTGTTAGTCACATATCTGCACCACGAACTTGTACAGAAAGTACAGCACTGATGTTTTATATAAATGTCACATTTTGTATTATATGTCATCACTACTACCACATACACTGAAATAAAAGCTGACACCACTGCACATTGTAAGCTGTTACTGGGACATCAGATACAAATTCTGCACTGGTGTTGTCATCATCCCTCAGTGGCCTAAAGGAGACATTAGACCGCAGTGTTACTCAGACCATACAGTGTGTTTCAGAGTCAGATTTGTGAAGAAAAACAACTGACAATATATTTGTTCAGGAAATGCAAAGATTTGCTTTTAAAAGAATGTACAGCTGGAATATGAAAAGTCAAAATGGACAAAGTTTTAATACAAAAAAAGTTAAAAAACATACAGAAGGAATAACCTTACAATGCCACTATTTACTGGGAAAAATCCAAAGTATGTTCTTTATCTAATTATTTTAAGAACTTTTGACATTTCATAATGTCTAAAGTAGTGGTTGGCTAATTGTCTGACCTTCCACCAGATAACAATTAGCAGGGCTTTAATTAAAAAAAAAAAAACAATTTAAAAGCCCATTATAAAATGGAGTGGGTGGAAACAAGTGTGAGGTGTGTTTTGTGACAGAAGGATATCATCAATAGGGAAAATGAAAGTTGCTATGATGTATGGTTTCAAGACAGTGGCCCAAACAAAAAGACAGGAGGCCGAGGTGGAGGTGGCAGAGCTGAAAATGTTAAGGTTTTCACTGGGAGTGACCAGAATGACGTTTCTGTGTCTGTGGGGTCATCTTGTCTAATTTCAAAGGATAAAATTGTGATTTAATTTGATAGTTTAAAACTAATAAATAAATAAAAAACATATGTGCAGAAACAATCATTTTTACTTGATGCAGTCAAAATTGATTGTGTCTCCATTTGTGAATTGATTTGAAATAAACCTTGTTTTTTTCCAGCATTATAACTTCAGTTCGCGGCGGTTTTCACCTTCTGTTCTCTCCGTGTCTCAGGCCTGCCTCTGTGCCGACACGTGAGATGCACCTCATTGTGGAGGATGTCATAAAAATGGGTGGAGCTCACAGTTAAAGGTTAGAGCTTTATTCACAATGTGCTTATAAAAACTACCAGAAAAAGCTGCTGGCGTCTCTGCTTGCCCATTTCCATCTTTGGTTATCGGAGACTGACATGCCTGTAAAACAGAGATAGCTGCAGCAAAAAAACAATTAGAGCTCTCGACTGTGTACTCAACTCCCCCTGGCTTCTGCTCCACGGCTGCTGAGTGAGCCCTCATCTGGGACTCTCCTCAGCTCTTTCTGGGACAGTGGCGCGGCTGCCCCTATGTTGGTCTTCCTTGGTCTCTTGTGTTCTGGGGGCCTCTGGATGTCTGGAGTTTTGATCTCCTCCATACCTGCTTCATGCCCTGGAGGACGGGGCTGTGGCCCCCCCACACCCTCTAGCAGATCATTACATGAAGGAACCTTTTAAAAACAAGCGCGTCCATGCTCACAGGTGTACACACGTGTGATCACACCCACAAACTACACCCTTTTTGGCTCCTACCTCAAAGCACACTGTGTTCTGTTGATCTTATGTGATGCACAATAATGTTTAATATTTAGTATTTACTGTCATATTCCCATATATCATTGTGATGTTGTTTATTCTATTACTCTTGTTCTCTTCTGCTTGTTTTCTTTTTTCTTTCTCAGCAGGTGATCCAGGTGATTGATATATGCATTTTTTTTTTTTTTGCTGCCCATTCTGTTGGTTTTTGTTTTTTGCCCTTCTCCCCCGTCCCTCTTCTCAGCTGTTTCTCTTTCCCTCTCCCCTTCTTTCCCCCAGTCAAGTCTGTCCCGTATTCCATCCATCCATCCATTCGCTTCCGCTTATCCTTTTCTGGGTCGCGGGGGGCGCTGGAGCCTATCCCAGCTGTCATAGGGCGAAAGGCGGGGTACACCCTGGACAGGTCGCCAGTCTGTCGCAGGGCTAACATATAGGGACAGACAACCATTCACACTCACATTCACACCTAGTGACAATTTTGATTAATCAATTAACCTATCCCCACAAGCTGCATGTCTTTGGACAGTGGGAGGAAGCCGGAGTACCCGGAGAGAACCCACGCAAACACGGGGAGAACATGCAAACTCCACACAGAAAGACCCCGGCCTGATGGTGGAATTGAACTCAGGACCTTCTTGTTGTGCAGCAACAGTGCTAACCACCGTGCCACCGTGCTGCCCAATAAATGAATAAACAATAAAAGGTGAATCAAATGGACCATTATGGCAAGGCTGGGATGGTCAATTTGGTAAAGTAAATCCGTTGGGCATATTTCTTTGCCTTTAGACAACAATTCTGATGGCAAAAGAGCCAAACGGGACAGGCAAAAAAAAAAAAAAAAAAAAAAAAAAAAAAAAAGAGCTCTCGACTGTGGCCACAAGATGGCAGAAATGTAAAAAAAATAAAAAATAAAAAAAGATACTCCCATTATTGGTGAAGTCTTTCCTGTCTTTTTTGAAGATTTTTTTTTTTTATTTCCTTTAAAGTAGATTGAAAGCACAAAATGAACAGAAATTAAGACAGAAATGAAGCTGAAATTAAACATGAAAACAAATAAAGGTATGTTTTACCCATAGATTTTGACATCATAATTAAGTGGCCAAAAAAATTTCGTCATTTAGCTAAAAACACAAAATAAAATTTGATTCAATTTTATTCATAAAATGACAAATCGCAGCAACAGTTTCCTCAAGGCACATGATATTCTAAGGTAAAGACCCTACAAAGATAGATATAAACCAGATAAAACCTCAACAGTCTCCCTTCTAATAAAAAGAAATCTCTGGCACAACCAGGCTCAGGGAGGGGCAGCCATCTGCCATGACGGTTTGGGAGTGAGGGAAGAAAGACAGGACAAGAACAGGATACACTGTCCAAGAGGGTCAGAGCTTAACAATAACTAATGACCAAGCTTTACAAGGTTTTAATACAAGTGTATTGATGTTCCGCAGATAATAAGGCAGCAGTAATGGTGTTTTTTTTAATCAGAGGTTTGAGTTTTGAAATTGAACAGGTATACACACACATACACTGTGAATTTTATATTGGCTTCACTTTTTACAAGCAGGCCTTTATTTCAAACAGACCAACAGAGATTATTGTCAATTTTGTTCTATTTCATTTTTTAGAAAAATTATATGAATACCAAAGTGCCAAAAAGTGCAATTGAAGCTGGCTGATAAAAGGGAGTCAGTCAGGGAGTCAAACTCCAACTTTACACAAAACACATGCCCTGTGAGAGAAGGATGGACAGGTAAATGGTGCGTGCAAGGGGGTGATGAAGACATTTAGATGATGAAGAAATTTACGTCAGCTGTCAAATGCAACAGTGACTTCAACACACCTCAGAACGTGTCCCAACTCGATGACTTGGCTGACATCAGTAAATCTGCCCTGGGTAGATGTAGACTAGGAGGTCAAGAAATAAAAAGAACTAAACAGCACTAACTTTGTAACAGTTAGAGACAGTATTTTTATGCTTCTTTATCTAATACAGATGTTTTAAAAGGTCTTTTATAAAATCTCCAGATGTTTGTGCATATTGGTACATTTAAGATGAGTGTCAACTTATTCAGGTTGTAACTCGATGTAACAGAACCACAGCAGACTTGACCACATGGCAATGCTTTTCACACACACTTTATTTTTACGGTTGCTGTTTTACAATTGGCTACACCTTTGCAGCTCGCAGCCA